CTTTCTTTCTTTCTTTCTTTCTTTCTTTCTTTCTTCCTTTCTCTCTCTCTTTCTTTCTTTCCTTTCTCTCTCTCTTTCTCTCTTTCTCTTTCTCTCTTTCTCTCTTTCTTTCTTTCTTTCTCCCCTTCCTTCCTCCCTCTCCCTCTCCCTCTCTCTCTCTTTCTCTCTTTCTTTCTTTCTTTCTTTCTTTCTTTCTTTCTCCCCTTCCTTCCTCTTTCTTTCTTTCTTTCTTTCTTTCTTTCTTTCTTTCTTTCTTTCTTTCTTTCTTTCTTTCTTTCTTTCTTTCTTTCTTTCTTTCTTTCTTTCTTTCTTTCTTTCTTTCTTTCTTTCTTTCTTTCTTTCTTTCTTTCTCTTTCTTTCGTGGAGTGGTACAGCCGTAGCGGCTCAGAGGCATCGCCAGAACCTGGCCTGCGTGAGACGTGGCGGGAAGGGCCCTCTTTGGCCCAGCAGTGCCAGGTCCAATCGGGTGTGTTCCCTCAACTCCGCCTCGGCCCCCTTAGGCGCACCCCAAGTCAGCAGAAAGGTTGCAGCTGGGGGCGGCGGGTGCAAGGTCTGAAAGCGCGCCCTGCTCTGCTCCCCTGGGCCTCCTGCTTGGGGGGGGACGGTGTGTGTGTGCGGGGGTCCTCCTTCCCGCGCCCGCCCCCTCCCCGCCCCGCACCCCCGTTTATTCCCCACCCCCCACCCCACCCCCAGGGCCGGGTCTGAGCCGGCGTGGCCCTTACTTAGTTCGGCCGTGGGCTGGCTGTGAGACCGAGCGCATCGAGCTGGTGCAGAGCCGGGGGGCGCAGCAAACCCCTGCCCCCGGCGAGCCCGAGGGCAGGGCGGCTGCAGGGCCACACCCTCGCCCTGTTGTTATAGAAACGGGGGCTGCCCTTTTTGTGACTCTGGAGCTGAAGGCCCCCGGGGGTCTCCCAACCCAGCTTTCTCTGCAGCCCGGAGAACACGCCCCTTCCTCTATTCATACTTGTATTTTAATTCCTCCAGTCGCTGTCAGATTACAAAGCGAAGCGTGATGGGGTGTCCGGTGCGCAGTGGTTCAACACGGATTTCTTCACCAGGGTCCACCAGAGCCCTACACCCCCCCCATCCCACCCCATCATTCTCATTTGCCTCCTACCCACCAGTCTGCATCTAAGAGAGGCACTTTATTTATTTTATTTATTTATCTATTTATTTATTTATTATTTTGGTCTTTTTTGGGGGGGTCACACCCAGCGATGCTCAGAGGTTACTTCCTGGCTCTGCGCTCAGGAATTACTCCTAGAGGTGCTTGGGGGACCCTGTGGAATGCCTGGGATGGAACCCAGGTCTGCCCTGTGCAAGGCAAACGCCCTCCCCGCTGCTGGACTATAGCTCCTGCCCCGAGAGGCACTTTTTATATTTGACTTTTTACGCTGTGGTTTGGGCTGGAGCGATAGCACAGCCGTAGGGCGTTTGCCTTGCGCACAGCCAGCCTGGCCGAGCCAGGTTCGATTCCTCCCTCCCTCTTGAAGAGCCTGGCATGCTGCCGAGAGTATTCAATATGCCAAACACAGTAACAAGTACTCTCACAATGCAGATGACGTTACTGGGCCTGCTCGAGCAAATTGATGAACAACGGGAGGACGCTGTGGTTTACAGTACTGGTAGTGATAGGGTTTCATACATAACGTTTTACCACCTTTTGGCACTATTTCTTTCTTCTTGTTGCCTGCTAACTTCCTATCCCCCACTCCACCACAAATAACAGTTTCCTCCTGAAGACCAGTTCTCATGTTCTTAGTTTCCATGGTCCTTTGGGCATCCGTTATTCCACTGTTATGTTCCTTTAACTTTTTTTTTTCTTTTTGGGTCACCCCGAGCAATGCTTAGGGGTTACTCCTGGCTCTGCACTCAGGAATTACTCCTGGCGGTGCTCGGGGGACGCTATGGGATGCTGGGAATAGAACCCGAGTCAGCCGCATGCAAGGCAAATGCCCTACCCACTGTGCTGTCTTTCCAGTCCCCCCCCCCCCCCGTTATGTTACTTTAGATCCCCAACATGAGCAAGATCAGTCTGGGAATAGCCCTCTTTCCCTCCCCTTTCTTGACACAGTTCTCTAAAGTATGGGACAAGAATTGAAAGACATGCCTACTCCAGATGGAATCCCAGTGACCCAGAGCTTCCACGAGCAAGGCCCAGGCATGCGGGTTCCAGGATTAAATCTCCATGCCAGATGGTGGGAGAGGTGCCGGGCTGCCTCTCCCCAGCTCCCCACCTCCTCGTTGGCCTGGCTCTCACCCCTACAATGTGCCTCTGGGCACCATCTTAGCGCACCAACAGCCCTAGTCCAGAGACGCCCAATTGAATCCCCAAATGGATTAGTGCCCTATAGAAATATCTCTGAAACCCAACCATTTATAATCTAGAATCCCAGAAGCATGTGGCCGTGGTACCCAAGATATTCAAGATGATCAATGGACAATAAATTATCTAGCATCTGCCCCTGGCATGAAGGCTTGAACAGTGGTTGGAAAATTCGAGCAAAACATAATGCCCCAAAGGAGAGAGAGAATATTGGGGAAATTGCCTGCCATGGAGGCAGGGTGAGGACTGGGATGGGGGAGAGGGGGATACATTGAGGATACAGGTGGGCAGTGTGCACTGGTGGAGGGATGGGTGTTTGATAATGGTATGGCTGAATCTCGAACATGATAGTTTTGTAACTGTATCTCAGGGTGATTCAATTAAAAAAAAGGAAGAAAAGTAATGTGGAGTTCATGCCCAATTCAATCAGCTTAATCAATGGCTGAATAAATAGCAGTACCCCTACATAAAAATAAATAGATCACTGTATCACTGTCATCCTGTTGTTCATTAATTTACTCAAGCGGGCGCCAGTAACGTCTCATTCGCCCCAGCCCTGAGATTTTAGCAGGCTCTCCTTACTCGTCTTTCCCAGCACTGCCATATTGGAGGCTCTTTCCGGGTCAGGGGAATGAGGCCCGTTATTGTTACTGTAGCATATCGAATATGCCACGGGGAGCTTGCCAGGCTCTGCCATGCGGGCAGGATACTTTTGGTAGCTTGCCAGGCTCTCCGAGAGGGACAGAGAATACAAACAAGTGTGGTATGTTAAAACCAAACACATGCATGCTGCTTTAGGTACATCAGTGGGCTAGACTATACGAGGTCTATAGGAAATACTAGAGTATAAAAATACTGTGTCGCTCTCTTCTGGGTCACGGTCACGGTCCTCCCGTTGTTCATCGATTTGCTCGAGTGGGCCCAGTAACGTCTCCATCGTGAGACTTGTTGCTACTGTGTTTGGCATATTGAATACATCACGGGTAGCTTGCCAGGGCGAGATACTCTTGGTAGCTTGCCGTGCTCTCCGAGAGGGGCAGAGGAATCGAACTCGGGTCGGCCATATTGTCTGCTTGCAAGGCAAACGCCCTACCGCTGTGCTATCGCTCCAGCCCATTTGTTGTTGCTCCAGCTCATTGGAGTTTTGTTTTATAGTCTCTGAATCTTGGCCATTGATGAGACTACATGGCACCAGGGGCATTTTGTGGGTGTGACTGCCAACCTACTGGAAAATGGGGGATCTGGGTGAATAAATAATAAAACAAAAATATAGGGACTAGGCACTGGCACTCCCAAAGTACATAGCCATCAGAAGCCCAGAGCAGGAGTTCTGGGTCAGATGCCTGCTTCGTGTGCACTTCCTGAATAGCAAAGAGCTACAGATGGAGAAGGGAGCACCAAATAAAGGGTGTTGGGAGGATCCTCCCAGGATGGGAGATGCATGCTGAAAGTAGACTATAGACCAAACATGATTGCCACTCAATGCCTCTTTTGCAAATCACAGCACCCAAAAGGAGAGAGAGAACAAAAGGGAATGCCCTGCCACAGAGGCAGGGTGGGATGGGGGATGGTGGTCAGTTTGGAGTTAGAACGTTGTAAGTCAGAAACTCTGTTAAAAGCATTGTTAAATCATGGGACCTAAAATAAAAACATTCAGTTAAAAATATAGAAACTAAGAAAAAAAAAGTACCACAGTAACAGGCAAATGCTCACCTTAATCTTAATTCTAAGTTGCTTATCTCACGTTGAGATGTTTTCATAAATCAAGAACAGATAAATAGTACCTTAAAAATGGTTAACATGACTGATTTGAAGAGTAGTTAGGAACCAGCCAAAATTCATATTATAAATATAAACTCCCTCTTAACTATTTTTTTCCCATGGATTCAGAACTAAACTTCCTAAAAGGTTATGCTGTCTCATACCATACGAGAAAGGAGTACTTGATATCTACCCTAACAAGTACCATAGTAACATGAAGTGAGTAAGAAAGCCCATCCCCCAACCCACAAAAAGGCTAAGACTCATTTCATCATGAAATGTACACAGTCAGAGACAGAGACGTGTGATGTGACGAAATCAAGGAAAAGAGCTTACCAAAACGTTTTCACTTTTATTGATGGGTTGGACAAGGAGGATTTCATGGAAAATTATGGCAGTTCATTTGTCATACAATAACCATCTACTTCTAGGTACATGACATAAACATAGCATAGCAACTGTTTCAGTTTAGAAAGTGCTTACTATAAAACATATGGCTTAAATATGAAACATCCTTGTAACGGAACTCCCACATAGCCTTCGTCACTGACACAATGTCAGAACTGTCACCTGAAGAAATGGAACAAGTCCTTTGGCCAGAGAAGCTCTAAACAGGCAAGGTGCCAACAGAGAGGAGAGTGTGTCGGGGGACCCTCCTCCATGTCACACTGACAACTGCTGAAGGAATATGACAATCCCGCAGGAGGACAGCAGAATATGAATTCCAGAAGAAAACGACATGGAAACGAACCTCTTCATGAAGGTTTGAACTGCTCTCCAGAGGACATAATAAAATGGGAAGAGATAATTTATATGAGACAAAGCTTAAGGGTTCCTTTATATTATAGCAATGTCCTTGAAGATAAATACGAATCACATATAAACATGTCTGCAAAAACGGTGGCCCTCTTCGCCAGCCATTTCTTTCCGAGCACACTCAGACGCTTGTGGCATTGGGATGCAAAGGCTTAACCCTGGCGAGCCTGGACAGACCAAGGCGGAGACTCTGGCTCGGAGACTTCATGGACACGGCTGCCGGGGGGCGGCCCCCGCTGCTGCTTCCAGACGCGGCTGAAAGAAAAGACACCATTTATTGTAGCACTATTTCCAATAGCCAGGATCTGGAAAAAACCTGAGTTCCTGAGAACAGAAACTCTGGTACATCCACACAATGGAATACTATGCAGCTATTAGAAGAGATGAAATCATGAGATTTGCATAGAAGTGGATGGACAAGGAGAGTATCATGCTAGGTGAAATGAGTCAGGAGAGACATAGAAGAACTGCACTCATTTGTGGACTATAAAGTAACAGAATGTGAGACTAACACCCAAGAATAGTAGAGGTAAGGGCCAGGAGGATTGCTCTATGGCTTGGAAGCCGGCCTCACATGCTGGGGGAAAAGGCAGCTGGGATAGAGAAGGGACCACTAAGTAAATGATGGTTGGAGGACTTGCTGGGGATGGGAGATGTGTGCTGAAAGTAGACTATGGACCAACCGTGATGGCCGCTTAGTATCTATATTGCCGACTAATAACACCCAAAAGGAGAGAGTGAAAAGGAATGTGCCTGCCACCTTGACAGACACGTTTTGAAGATTGGTTGCTGTGGTTTGCATCTCATACTTACAATGTTGTTTAACTCTGTGGTTTGGATATATTAATAAACCACTCCCCCACATGACTGGTATAAGGTGGGACATTTCTTTTTTTTTTTTTTTTTTGCTTTTTGGGTCACATCGGAGATGCTCAGGGGTTACTCCTGGCTCATGCACTCAGGAATCACTCCTGGCGGTGCTCGGGGGACCATATGGAATGCTGGGAATCGAACCTGTGTCGGCCATGTTGGCTGCGTGCAAGGCAAACGTCCTACCCGCTGTGCTATCGCTCCAGCCCCGGGTGGGACATTTCTTAACAAAGAGCCATTTATGGACTAGAGAAAGCATAAGGAGCAGGCAAGCGTTATGCTGATCCCTCCAGCTACAATATAGAGCAAAAGAATGGAAAGCAACAAATACAGTATTGTCGATTTTCAAACACTCCTAGAAGCCAAGGTCATGGGCCCAGAACTTTAAACCTGCAAGCTGAAACAGAACCACTGGGAGAAAATCGCACTAATATAAGGAATATATAGATGCAAGCAATTATCTTTCTAAACTACGAGAAAAACGTAATGCCTTAAAAAAAATTCTGTCATTTAAAAAAATGACAACACAATACACACACACACAAACACACACACACTCGAGACATATAAATTCCCAAAATAAATTTCAAGACCAAAGGAGAGGTTTATTATTGGGGGAGGGGGGAGTAGTGGGACGTGGGGAGATTGGGTCACACCCACGTGGTTCAGGGCTTCCTCCTGGCTCTTCACCACTCAAGAATCACTCCTGGCGGGGGTCTTAGGGAACCATATGGGTGATGAGGATCAAATCTGGGGGGTGGGCTGAAGGGCCTGCATACAAGGCAAGCATCCTACCCACTGCTACCTATTGCTCCGGCCCAGGAGAGGTTTATTTACTTCTTTAATTTTTCGGTTTTGGGGACCACACCCAGCTGTGCTTAGGGGTTGCTTCTGGCTCTGCACTCAGGTATCACTTCTGGTGGGGCTCTGGGACCATAATGGGGTGCTGGGGATTGAACCTGCATCAGCCTCGTACAAGACATACAAGGCAAGTGCCCTACACACTGCACAATCTCTCCAGCCCAGGAGAGGTTTATTTTCATGGCTACTGTCAAGATGTTCCATAAACACATTATAAAGATTAAAAATTTCTTATTCTCCTATTCTCCCATGCCTCAATGTGCAGAGCCTTAGTTTCATTATTTTATTTATTTATTTTTTTTTGCTTTTTGGATCACAACCGGCGAAACTCAGGGGTTAGTCCTGGTGGGACTCGGGGGACCAGATGGGATGCTGGGAATCAAACCTGGGTTGGTCACATGCAACGCAAATGCCCTACCTGCTGTACTATCACTCCAGCCCCAGTTTCATTATTTTCTAGTTTGAGATCTTTTCCTTAATTACTAGAGGCTTCAATTCTTTTCACATTCATTTCTAGTGTGCAGTTCTTCGGGAAATTTCTATATCTAAGTCCTATTTTTCTTTTGGGATCTTGTTGGTCTCAGATTTGTATGACAGTTAACTCGTCGGCAGCCTCAAGGTCAAATCCAGTATGGAGTTTGGGCCATAAGGTTTTGTTAAAAAAAAAAAAAAGTCAACATTTAAAGATTAGGAGATTTCACATTAAAACGCACCATACCTGGTGGGACCCATCTGGGTCTCTTGCTCGCGGCAGGAGAACTGTGTGTTTGCAGTGGTGTTCTAGGGGCCGCTGAAGAAAGAGACCCCGTTTTTGACGGGGACAGACATTCTGCTTTGACAGCAGCTGGAGCAGAGACTACCGAGGTCGCTGATGCAAACAAAACAAAACAAAACAAAACAAAACAAAAACACATATGCAAAGTTTGTCAGAGGAAGAAAAGGTCTAGATGAACGTGTCAAATTATAAAGCCATAGAACTAGACAGGCAATACAATTTGAGAAACTGTTAAGTAACAAAGCTTTGTTGACTGCTGGAGAATAGCGATCTTTTTACGACCACGTGCACGGCAGTGTGGCAAGCTTATGGTACGGATTAACTTTAACGGTTCGAACAACCCTGATATGGATATTGCCAGGGCCATGGTTAGAAAAGCAAACAAAAGGGCTAGGCAATTTGCCTGTAGCTGAGAGCTAAGGAATGTCGAAGCCAGGATTCCAAACCAAACCAAAACCGGGGCTCTCGCTTAAAGGGCAAACCTGGAATTTGCAACTGATAAGAACTGCAGTAAATAGTGTCACCTCCGGGAGCCCCAGATTAAAAAAATTACCCTCTGCGCGTGGCTGCTGGCACTCTGGAATTAAGCACTGGCTGGACAGTGGAACCAGCGTTCCTGTCACCTTCCCGCCCTGCCCCACACCCCCAGCGGTCCCTGCTGTTCAACCAAACAGGCGCCGACTTCAGGAGAAGAAGTTGAAGGGAAGAACCAACCACATGTCCTTTAACCAAATTAAGTGAGCTAAGCTTACCCAAAGCCTTACATTTTGATCTGGGTTTCTTCTCTCTCTTTTCAACGGGGGGTTTTACCTTCGCTTCTTTCTTTTTCACGTCTTTAGCTTTACTTTCTTTACTTTTCCTTACAGTGAAGTTTTCGTCCTCATCGTCGCTCTCTCCGAAGTCAGAATCATCCTCAGACTCTTCCCCTGAGACAGAAGATCATGGGTGTCATCTCTGCTCCCAAAGCGTCAGGCCTCCCCGGGGCCTCCCCTGCCTCTGTGGGCACTGCGACCAGATTCGTGTGGGCGATGTCACTGCTGGAGGTGAGACATCAATGGTGGTGGAGAGCTTGGCTGCTGGCTCTGAATCCCAAACCCTCCACGTCCACATTGTGTGGCTTTAGGTGACCAACTCACAGTGCCTGTTTCTTTACGCAGCATCGGGGCTAAGGGCGACATCCCAGTGGCAGGTTGTCAAATACCCTACAGGTTGTCTGGTCTTTTGGGAGTGAGGCCCAGGGTTGGATCCCGGGGACAAGCCCACAGCCAAAGGTGATCCAGGCGGCAGTGCTACTGGGAACCCGGGCAATACGGGGGGAGTTTTTTTGGACAAAAGCATAATAAATAACGATACTGATACTCTGAAGATATTATTATGCCTGGAAAAGGTAAGTAAACCCACAAATCATTTATTTTGATTGTGGGCTGGAGCGATAGCACAACGTGTAGGGCGTTTGCCTTGCACACAGCCGACCCAAGTTCGATTCCTCCATCCCTCTCGGAGAGCCCAGCAAGCTACCGAGAGTATCCCGCCCGCACGGCAGAGCCTGGCAAGCTCCCTGTGGCGTATTCGATATGCCAGAAACAGTAACGACAGGTCTCACAATGGAGACATTACTGGTGCCCGCTCGAACAAATCGATGAACAACGAGAGGACAGTGCTACAGACAGGGTTGCAAGCCATCTTAAATTGGGAGCCTTAATTGTGGTTCCACTATCTTCCTTTTTGTGTGGGTGTTTCTGTTTTGGGGTCCTGGCAAGCGCTCAGGGCTTACTCTTGGCTCTGCACTCAGGGATCGCTCCTGGTGAGGCTCAGGGGGAACCATATGGGAAGCCAGAGATTGAACCCAGGGTGGCTGTGTACAAGACAAGTGCCTCGCCTGCTATTCTATTGCTCCAGTCCCTTCCTCACTATGCCTTTTATAGTAAGGTGGGGTGGGGGGGACACACTCAGGGGTGCTCAGGGGTGACTTCTGGCTCTGTGCTCAAGGATCACTCCTGGTAGGCTCAGGGAACCATATTGGGTGCTGGGGCCCGAACACAGGCCCCACACGCAAGGCAAACACCCTGCCTGCCGTGCTATTGCTCCAGCCCCTCCACTATGCGTCTTGAGGTTACTTCCTTTCACTGATCCCTCTCTGGTGTTGAACACTCTTTACATTAGTGTTTCTCAGAGATCTGCTCCGAGACCTCCTGGGCTAGACAGATGGAGAGGTTCAAAGGGCCGGTTTCTGGGTTCTTTCGGCCTGTCTCTTCTTCATAGCTCTTTATTCATGGCACTTGAAACTTCCGGTCTTTGGGGCTGGAGTGATAGCACAGCGGGTAGGGCATTTGCCTTGCACTCGGTCAACCCGGGTTCGATTCCCGGCATCCCATAGGATGCTGGTCTCATGAGCACTGCCAGGAATAATTCCTGAGTGCATGAGCCAGCAGTAACCCCTGTGCAATGCCGGGTGTGACCCCAAAAAGCAAAACAAGCAAACAATAAAACCCCAAAAACAAAAACTTCCAGTCTTTGTGTCTTGCCTATGACCCCTCACTCGGATGTAAGGTCCAGAAAGGCAGAAGCTCCATCCTGCTCCCCGCTATTGTCTAAGATAAAAATGCCCCCCTCTAAAGCAGGCCTCACTCGACTCCTATATCTCAACACAAGCTTCTTCCATTGTTCATGCCTTTCGACTGCCCAACAATGCTATCTTACCACTCCTTGAGTTTGTTTAGATGATAGTCAGGTTTTTTTTTTTTTTTTTGCTTTTTGGGTCACACCCGGCGATGCACGGGAGTTCCTCCTGGCTCTGCATTCAGGAGTTACTCCTGGCGGTGCTCAGGGGACCATATGGGATGCTGGGAATCGAACCCGGGTCGGCCGCGTGCAAGGCAAACGCCCTACCCGCTGTGCTATCTCTCCAGCCCGATAGTCAGTTTTTAAAATCTGGCTCGAGGATCACTTCCAGGCTAGATTCACCCCTTCACACCCCCCTCCCCCACTGTCTGCATATAATGGTCTCCAAAATCTTTTACTGAGTTGCAGTTGGATCGATTTTGAGGTCAGCAATAACTTACCCGTCGCAAAGTCTGGCTCAGACTCCTCGGATCTCTCCCCATCACTGCCCTCTAGAAGCATCATTCTCTGCTGGGCCACAGCTTTAGACGCCGCTTTTCTTTTTCCCTGAACACCGTGAAGATCTTCTTCCTCGGTAATCTTATCCAGGTCTTCAAGAGAAGCATTTAAGAAAATAAAAAAAGACAGGTAAGAATTCAAGCAATGGATGTGTACGGGTATGGAATAGACGGTGACGGAGCCTAGGCTTTCCACATACGAAGCTCTGAGTTCGATCGTCGCACACACGTGCACAGAGACCCCCCTCCAGCCCCACAAAACAACGACGATAATCACTATCATCGCAAAAACTTACCTAAATAATCACCAGCAACACTGCAATTGGAGATATGGGGGGACTTGGTTTCTACTCCATCACTGTCAAGTTTTTCAACACCTAAATGTAAGGGAAAGGACGGATTCTGATGGACCTTAAGCAGAGATGCGGTCAGGAGTACAAGATCGAGTCTGCACCCTCACATCACAGGATTTCTCCCCTCCACGCACCCCATCCCCAGTGCCACCGGGTACAGCCCTGGAGGTCCTCAAGCACCAGCAGCTTGCCCTGATGGTCCCCAGCACCATGCACTGAAGTGTCCAACTGGTCAGTTAAGTACTGCAGGGAGTGGCCCAAGTCCCCACCTTGTCCACTCACCCCCCCCCCCACCACCAAATCGAGAAAACAAACAAATGAAATCAATAAATACAAAGAAAATCAAGTCACTTTTATCCGGAGACTCCGTCAGGTCAACAGTGGTTGTGGGAAGTTCCTTCACGGACAGCGCCAGGGCAACTTCTAAGTCTCTCTTATAGAGCTTGTCATCCAGAGCCATCCTGAAGTGGATACAAGGAAGAATGAGCTTTGGATCCCACCAGTCACCTCCGAGAAGCAAATGTGCAGATTTTCCCGAAGAGCTGCTAGCCTCACGAAAAGCGTTGCTAAACAACTATAGTCCGGGGGCCAGAGAGATAGCACAATGGGTAGCTGGCCTGGGTTCAATCCCTGGCACCCCACATGGCCTCCAATGTCCCACCGGGAGTGATCCCTGAGTGCAGATCCAGGAGTAAGCCCTGAGCACTGCTTGTGTGTGGCCAAAAAACAACAACAAAAAAAAAATTTCAATCACACTTGCCCTTTGGTGTTAAGGTCCCTGCCATGTCACAATGGCAATGCTTTATCAAGACTAGCAATTTAAAACAAGAATAGCATGTTCCCTTCCCAAGGAAATAAGGAAGATGAATAGCTAACACAGATGATGAGGAAAACGTTTTGGGGGTGCCAGCACTGTCCTGCATCTGTTTTAAAGGAACTCATTCCATGGCTTGGAAGCCGGCCTCACATGCTGGGGGAAAAGGCAGCTGGGATAGAGAAGGGACCACTAAGTTAATGATGCTTGGAGGGGCACGCTAGGGAAGGGAGATGCTGGCTGAAAGTAGGCTATGGACCAAACATGATGGCCACTTAGTTAACTGTTCTGCATCTTGATTATGTAAGGGTGAAATGATGCCATGACAGGCGGCAGAACTCCGCAAAATCAGCTAGGCCTCAGGTTCAGTTCCTGGAGCTGAAATAGTCTCGGTTTCCCAGCACTGAAACAAAGTTCAGAATTACCAGAAAGTTTTGGCTTACAAGTAATCAAGACTGACTTGGGGAACTGTGACAAGGAAAGGTAAAATGCAAAGGGAAGGTTAAAGATAAACTTTAACTAAATGAGGGATGCCAGGAAGAGCACAGTGAGATTCTCTGGGAGCAGGAAAAGAGGCAATTCACTGATGAAACCTAAAACACTTTGGGTTAATATCCAACAATACTGAGTAAACAATACTTAACAATAAATAAGTCCTAACTCAGAATCTTTGGAGCTGTCTGCCTCAGACTTAAATGAATGATTTCCTTTTACATTTCTGAATTTCCTGTTTAACTCAGAAGGGAATTAATGGCAGATCTCTGTTCTCCTGCACGTACTAAACAGCTGTTTGTCTTACCTCTCACCTTTTTTTAGGGGTTTCCTCTTGAGCTATGTCTTCTTTCTGGAGAGTTTTCAATTTGGGGTTTGGTTTCTCTTCTTTTAATTTTGTCTTGGGTTTCTTGTTTAAAGGGGCAGTGGCCGCAACAAAATCATCTAGTTTTGCACAAAATATAAACAAAAAATATGAAACGGCTTTTCCTAAGTAGATAAAACGTGTGTGTGTGTGTGTGTGTGTGTGTGTGTGTGTGTGTGTGTGTGTTTGTCATGAAGGACTGAACTCAGGGCCTTACCCACTTGAGGTCCACTCTACGACTGAGTCACTTCCCTGGACAAAATTCTTTTTTGTTTAATTGGAGTCACACCCAGTGGTGCTGAAAAGCCACCAAGGCTATCCTAGCAGTGCTGGGGTCATGGTCTGGGGAGACAGGGCAAGCATATGGTACCAGGGATCAATCCCAGACCATCATACAATGCAAGACAGGCGTTCTGTCTCTCTAAGTTATATCCCTGGCCCTAAAATTATTTTCTTAGAAGTTGCATTCATTATGTTGTATGTTCAAGTTGAAATTCCACAATTTAATTAAAACAAACAACTGGTATATAGCTCTTATGTTCACTTACGCTTTTCCATTTCCTCTCAGTGATCTTTATTTATTCATTTTTTTAAATGAGGGTCATTCCAGGAAGTGCTCAGGGGTCCATGTGGGGGAGGGATGGAACCCAGGGTCTTACACAAGGCAGGCACATGCTCTACCTCACACCCCCAGCTGCTGGTGCTCATCTTAAAAGATATAAGTCTATCAAAAACCAATTGAAAAATTGCGAAGACAATTAATCTAGTATATGTATGTCAAAGAAAAATAACGGGAACCTCAAAAAACATTAGAAAGGTGATTTAAATCCGTCACTTTGAAAATAAGAAGAAAAAGGTTTTTTATGAATATTCTGCTACTTCCCAATTATCTTCTTTCAAAAGCCCATTCATTACCTTCGAATAGCTTGACTAAGCCAAGAAAAATCAGAACTTAGAAAGTGCCCTCTATTTACAGTTTTACAACAGAGAGAACTTTCTCCTCCATTACCACAATAGTGTTCTTACCATCATACACTAACTACCTTTTAACTACTTTTAACATACTTTTATCATACCTTTTAACTACTTTTTTTTTAAATTAGTGAACCACCATGAGGTACAGTTATAGACTTACAAATTTTTGTGCTTGGGTTTCAGTTATACAATGATCAAGTACCCATCCCTCCACCAGCGCCCATCCTTCACCACCGCGGGTCCCAGCATCCCTCCCACCCCCCATCCCTCCCATCCCATCCCGCCTCTGTGGCAGGACATTCCCTTTTGTTCTCTCTCTCTCCTTTTGGGTCCTGTGGTTTGCAAGAGAAGCATTGAGCACTAATCATGTTTGGTCTATAGTCTACCTTCAGCATGCTTCTCCCGCCCTGGGAGGATCCTCCCAACACCTTTATTTGGTGCTCTCTTCTCTATCTGAGCTTCCTTTTCCCCTAGCACGTGTGGCTGGCCTCCAAGTCATGGAGCAAAATTCCTGGTACTAATCTCGGCCACTCCTGGGTGCCTTTTAACTACTTTTAACATACTTTTAACATACCTTTAACAACCGACAAAGTTCATTTTTATTCACAGGCTTTTGTGTTCTATCAACTCCTGGGTCTGATGTAGTCCTACTGGCAACGCAAGATGTCTGCCATAGCTTTCAAACTCATCGGTGATGCAAGGATGATGTTAGGGTATGTGGGGACTTCGTCATTTACTTAGCATTGACTAGTACACTGCACGGTAAAGCCTGGCAAGCTCCCCGTGGCGTATTCGATATGCCAAACACAGTAACAAGTCTCACAATGTTCCTGGGCCCGCTCGAGCAAATCGATGAACAACGGGAGGACTGTGACCGTGACCGTGAGCGTGACTAGTCCACATGCTGTGCTTGCTTTTCACAAAAGCTAATGCTTCTCCATGTACTAATATGATAACTTGTAACTGACCTCCTCGGCCCCCTACGTGTTCAGAATACAACTGGCAACTTATAAATTTGTGGGGACTCACTGATGACAGTTACCGGGTGCTAAAAGTTCTATTCTGTACGATTTCCCCTGAGTTTCAAGTGAAAGATAGACCCATGACAATTGAGCCCTAGCAAAGCAAGTCCCAGCCCATATCCCGTCCTGCAGCTGCGGCAGGCTGACAACACCAAGTACCCCCATCTCCTCCCTGCACCTGGAATTCGCCAGATAAAGCCACAAGGCCGGAGAAGGCCTAATGAGGCATCTCCTTGTCCTGGAATCCGCCTAACAAGGCCCAACACAAGTACCCCCATGTCCTCCCTGCACCTGGAATTCACCAGATAAGGCTACAAGGTCAGAAAAGGCCTAGTGGAAAGGCCTAATTGACTGCCCGGTGGGAGGGCCTGGTGACAGGTACAGAAGAGAGTGGCTGGTGCTGATGGCTTGTTGCAAAATGATTGGCTGCCTGCGTGCAGCATCTAATGTGATAATTCAAATGTATTGGGTGATTTGTGCGCGGGCTTTCTGAAATGCGCGGGAAGATGCCCTATAAAAAGCCCCCTTTGAAGAGGCTCGGGGCTCTCAGTCACTGACGGTTTGCGGTCATGCTGTGAGCCCGAGCATGCTTGAATAAACCTCCTGCTTTTGCATGGACTTGGTCTCTCAGAGTTTTCCTTGACAGGTGAGGCTGTCCTGAGCTCGGACCCTAACACAAGCACACTTCAGGCTGTCCTCAACACAAAAACAGATTTACTTCAAAACATTTGACTCAAAAAGCTCTGATGATCAGAGAAGGAAATAAAAATCTTCCCCAAGGTGTAATTTAATCGAATATAAGAAACGCATTAAGCTTTCGAGCTTTTTGACCATAAAAAGTATGATTCCAAAGAGGGTTTCAAATTCTTATCTTTGCAGTTTTTACTGAGGTATGGTTGACGGGTAACATTAAAATCAGAAGTAAAATCGCATGATTCAATATTATGAGACCATCACGCTAGCTCAACATCTGACACCACTGCAAAATGTTTTCTATTTGGGGAACTTTTATTGTATTTAGTCTTTGTGAAGCAAAATTGCTTTTATTGAATAAAACTTATTTAGAAACTTACTAAGAGGTGGAAAAATGGAGAAATGTGTCCAAGAAAGAACACAGCGTGCTTCAGAGTGGAAATAAGCAAGCAAAGAAGCATAGACACCGGGAAGATGCACATTCCAGGGAGAACAGAGCATGAAGAGCGAGCCAACTGCGGGACACTTTTAGAGATGTACTGTTACTTTAAAATGTGTGATACAATATTATTAACATCATATCTCATGCCATTTATTTTCTATTTTGTTTTGCTCTGTTTTGTTTTGGGGCCCCATCTGGTGGTGCTCACAGCTTACTCCTGGCTCTATACTCAGTGATCACTCCTGGTGGGGCTTGGGGGACCATATGGAGTCAGGAAATTGAACCCAGGTTGGCTGCATGCAAAGCAAGTGCTCTTGGGCCCCCATGTCTCTTACTTAGTTTCTAACTGGGACATTGTACCCCTTGCACCCATTTTTCCGCTCACCCACTCACCCCACCTCATATTGGCCACCAATCTATTCCCTGAAACCAAGCTTTTGCAAGTGTTTAAGATTCCACAGTAACTTTGTACACCAAACATTAACTTTGACACTAGTGTAACCATGTTACCTATTTTTTAGGAACAATTAAATGATACCTTTAAATTAAATTTTATAATTTTAGGGGGCTGGAGTGATAGCACAGTGGGTAGGGTAGGGCGTTTGCCTTGTACGCAGCCAACATGGTTCGATTCCCAGCATCCCATATGGTCCCCCGAGCACCGCCAGGAGCAATTCCTGAGTGCATGAGCCAGGAGGAACCCCTGAGCATCGCCGGGTGTGACCCAAAAAGAAAAAAAAAAAAAAACCAATTTTATTTATAACAAATTTCAAAACCTTAATTATAAATATTCCACATGTAAAGTAAAGTAAAGGCCCTCCCGTTGATCATCGATTTGCTCGAGCGGGCCCAGTAACGTCTCCATTGGAAACTTTGTTGTTACTGTGTCTGGCATATCGAATACGTCATGGGGAGCTTGCCAGGCTCTGCCGTGCGGGCGAGATTCCACATGTAAGTGAGATAATATAATCTACCTCTGTCTAACCTAATTTACTTAGCACAACACCCTAAAGAGTCACACATATTCTCACAAATAACAAGATTTCCTTTTCATATAGCTAATAGTCCCTTGCGTATATACACTTTCCCCCGCATCTGTAGGTGGACACCAGTCATTTCCATAGCCAGGCTCCCATAAACAATGTTGGAATGGACACAGATAGACAGCGTGCATCTTACTGAATTAGTGTTTTAATTTTCCTTGGAGAAATACTCAGAAGTTGGATTCCAGGATCAAATGACAACTGTATCTTAACTTCTTGAGTAACCTCCATACTGTTTTCCATTTGGTTGTCCCGAATCACATCCTCCACCAACAGACCCTTTCCGCTAGGACCTTGTCAGCACTTATCTGTTCACCTCTGGACGATGCTATTGTAGTGGTGCCATTCTAATTCATCATAGGTTTTGTATCTGCAGTGTTAGAGATCAAAATCAGGCCATTCCTGGTCCTTTTCATTGTGGTTCTGATTTGCTTTCCTTGATGATAATTATTTTTTATTTATTTATTTTTTTGCTTTTTGGGTCACACCCGGCGATGCTCAGGGGTTATTCCTGGCTCTGCACTCAGGAATTACTTCTGGTGATACTTGGGGGGCCCGATGGGATGCCGGGGATTGAAATGGATCAGCCGCATGCAAGGCAAATCCTCTACCCCAGGCTGTACTATCGCTCTAGCCCTCCTGGATGATTGTTAACGGTGATTAATAAACATTTCATGTACCTGTTGACCCTCTGTATGTCTGCTTAGGAAAATTTCCTCTTCAGGTTTACTGCCAAGGGAGAGCAGGTGGAGTGATAACACTCTTTCCCCCTTGGGTGGCCCGGCGACAGTAAGGTACTGTGGGGTCCGGACGCATTTCTACCAAAAGCCACTGGGTTTCTGGGATCATGGCCGTTAAACAGCTTGGTCAGGAGCCAGAGAGGCCGTTTGTGGGCGATGACTTGGGGTCTCATTGGGTGGGGAGGACAGGACCGGCTCCACCCCCATCCCCATGAGGCCCTGCGTGTCTCATCACTGGGGGCCCAAACCTGACTGTCCAGTGGCCTCTGAAGGATGGTGGTCACTGGGTCGCCAGGGGGAACAGGCCAAGGCACAAAACCTATTCCCACCTGGGTTGTCCCAGCACCGGTGACCTACTGCAGAGACCAGACGCATTTCTGCCAAAAGCCGTTGGGTTTCAAGATTTGTTTATGAGTCTCTGGGATCATGGCTGTTAAGCAGTTCAATCAGGAACCAGAGAGGCCATGACTCCAAGTATATAGCTGAGCCGGAGGTGGTTTGTGGGTGTGTTTCCCACATACCTAACTTTTGGCCGTTTACTTTCTTGGTAAACTTTGCCCCAAGTTTTTGGGGTCTGGCCAAAGGCACAGCAGCAATTTTGGGGTATCTGGAAGTCTGAAGGTGCCATCAGGCTGCTGATGCACTCGCCTCACAGGTACAGATTGACCAGCTGGCGGCACCATATCCCCGCAGGTCCTTTTTAAAAAATTGAACAGTTACTGAGGATTTCACATTATATTCTGCAACAACTGTGTCTCAAACAGACATTATTTTCCTTCTAAGGGAAGAACAGATGGTGACAAACCCACGAAAACATGGACCTAGGGTAGTTTTGAACTAAATAGCCATTTCATCTGGCTCAATCATTTATACTTACCTACACATCCCAAGTGCTCATTAAACTATTTTTCCTAACATACCTCTTACGCAACTGCAAAATAAGTTCAACATCTGGATTCTATACATCATACACACACACACACACACACACACACACGATGTATATATATATATATATATGTATATGTGTGTGTGTGTGTATCTGGGATCTTTTAAGTAAAATAAGAAGTTCTACTTACCATCACTGTCAGAGTCATTAAACTGCGAGTAGTCAACTGACTTCTTATGTCTACAATCAAAAAAAAAAAATTTCCTTTACACAAACATCAAATTTCCACCTCCACTGTTCGAGGTCATTAGTAGTTTTGGGTACACAGATATATATGCTTGAATTCCTTTTAAGAATACATAATGTGGGATCAGAGAGATAAAACACCAGGTAAATCTTAGCGTAGCCAAAAAAAAAAGAACACAACTGGGGGTGGGGGGAGAAAACACAAATGTAAAACATAATCTGTGATTTATAGCAGGGCATTTGCATTGGCTGAAATATATCTGAGAAGTAAATAATTAGTTCAGATCCCCCCGCCCCACACACACATACAAAAAAAAAACCCCTTAAATAACAAAATTTGGGCTGGAGCGATAGCACAGCGGTAGGGCATTTGCCTTGCGTGCAGCCAGTCCGACCAAGTCGGGCTCGATTTCTCCGCCCCTCTCGAAGAGCCCGGCAAGCTACCGAGAGTATCTCCCCCACACGGCAAAGCCTGGCAAGCTACCCATGTCGTATGATATATGCCAAATACAGTAACAAAAAGTCTCACGATGGAGATGTTACTGGGTCCGCTCGATCAAATCGATGAATAATGGGAGGACCATGACCATGACCATGATATAACAAAATTTATGCACTTATAATATGCATTTATGTATTTTTACTTAGTATGTGCACTTTTTGATTTATGTTTCTACCTTCTGCCAAACACCCAAGTTTGAATAATCAGTTTTCAGTCAGCTGCTTTTTCAAGTAAAAATGGTGCCTAGGGGATGGATCAAAGAGTTTGTGCAATATAGTGTTGGCACTTGCTTTGCACATAGCTGATCTGAGTTCAAATCCCAGCAATGCATATGGTCTGAGCATCTCCAGGAGCGATCCCTGAGCACAGAGCCAGAAGTAAGTCCTGAGAACTGCTGGATATAGTCCCACCACCCTCACAGACCCTCCCTTAAAAAATAGTGCCCTGGGTCAAAGATGCCTCAATGAACTGAGTGCATGCACACAGGGAGTCTGGGTTCTATCCCTGGCACTGCACAATCACTTGAGCACCACCAGGAGTGACCCCGAGCACTAAGTCACAAACCAAAAAGCATGTATATTTAAATGAGTCGTGACCTCTGAACAAAAGTTAATTTGACTATAATTTGACCATAACTCAGTCTCAAAAGTTTTTCCTTCTCCTCTTTAACAAATTGTGCTGGCATCACTGGACGGCTACATGCAAAAAAATGGGCTCAGAACTCTGCCTAACACCATGTACAAAAGTAAGATCAAAATGGATTAAAGACCTCAACATCAGACCAGAAACCATAAGGTACATTGAAGACAAAGTTGGCAAAACCCTCCATGACATTGAAGCTAATGGTATCTTCAAAGATGCCACGCCACTGGCCGAGCAAGTGAAAACAGAGATAAATAAATGGGACTATCTTAAACTAAGAAGCTTCTGCACCTCCAAAGAAACAGTGACCAAAATACAAAGACAGTCTACAGAATGGGAAAGGATATTCGCCGAAAACACATCTGACAAGGGGTTGATATCCAGGATATACAAAATACTGGTTAAACTCCACAAGAAGAAAACATCCAACCCCATCCAAAAATGGGGCAATGAAATGAACAGAAACTTTCTCAAAGAAGAAATCCGAATGGCAAAAAAGCACATGAGAAAATGCTCTACATCATTAATCATCAGGGAGATGCAGATCAAAACCACAATGAGATACCATCTCACACCTCAGAGACTGGCCCACATTCAAAAGAACAAAAGCAACCGATGCTGGCGTGGATGTGGCGAGAAAGGGACACTCCTTCACTGTTGGTGGGAATGTCGACTGGTTCAGCCCTTCTGGAAAACAGTATGGACGATTCTCAAAAAATTAGAAATTGAGCTCCCATTTGACCCAGCAATACCACTCCTGGGAATATATCCCAGAGAGGCAAAAATGTATAGTCGAAGTGACATCTGCACTTGTTTGTTCATTGCAGCACTCTTTACAATAGCCAGAAACTGGAAGAAACCTGAATGCCCAAGAACAGATGACTGGTTAAAAAAACTTTGGTACATCTACACAATGGAGTACTATGTAGCTGTTAGAAAAGATGAAGTCATGAAATTTACATACAAGTGGTACAACATGGAAAGTATCATGCTAAGCGAAATGAGTCAGAAAGAGAGGGATAGACATAGAAAGATTGCATTCATCTGGGGGATATAAAGTAACAAAATATGAGATTAATACCCAAGAATAGCTGAGATCAGCACCAGGAGAATTACTCCATAGCTTAGTGGCCAGTCGGGCATTCTAGAGGAAAGGGCAGCTCAGATAGAGAAGGGAACACCAAATAAAGGGTGTTTGGAGGACCCTCCCAGGAGGGGAGATGCATGTCGAAAGTGGACTATGGACTGAACATGTTTGCCACTCAATGCCTCATTTGCAGACCACAACACCCAAAAGGAGAGAGAGAACACAGGGGATTGCCCTGCCACAGAGGCAGGGGGGGATGGGGGGATGGGGGTGGGGGGTATATTATCCATGGTGGTGGAAAATGGGCACTGGTGGAGGGATGGGTATTTGATCATTGTATAATCAAACCCAAGCACAAAAAATTGTAAATCCACAACTGTACCTCATGGTGTTTCACTAATAAAAAAAAAAAAAATTAAAAAAAAAGTTTTTCCTTCTTTGTAAGAAGACTTCATGAATACTTCTCACTTTCTCAAGAGAAAATATTAAAAAAGCATAGTTTTATTGTTTTCCTACTTTTGGGAGCTAAAGAGCAGAATAAAACAGGGAAATTTTGAGATTGAACACCAGGCAATAAAATCTATTATATAGAGTATATTAAAATCACAATAGGGGCTGGAGCAATAGTACAGTGGTTTAGGGGGTTTGCCTTGCACATAGCCGATTCAGGTTTGATTCCCAGCATCCCATATGGTCCCCTGAGCACTGCCAGGAGTAATTCCTGAGTGCAAAGCCACAAGTAACCCCTGTGTATCGCTGGGTGTGACTCCAAAAAAGCAAAAAATAACAACAACAAAAGTCACAATAAAGACAAGAATTGAGCTGCAATAAACATAATTCTTACTGCTTTATCAAATATATTTTAGCAAATCTGGTGCTTTTTCCTTTCTGTATTCTGAGCAGATGGCAGTAAAGAATACAATAACTATTAGTTCAGTTCAGTATCACTACCTTGATTTGTGCAAAGTTGTCAATAATTTTACCACCATCACATTCATTGCTATGTGGTGGAAATAAGATGGAAATGTGAAAAAAAACAACCGCCTTCGTTTTATCGTGAAAATAGTTTTGATCTCATAAACCTTCTGAAAGAGTCTCAGGGGCTGCCAGGGAGGTCTGTAGACCATATTTTGACAACCATTGTTTCAGAGAGATTACATCTTCCTTTCTTTGATGTATAAAGCCATTTCTAAATGTAATATGCTTCAAAGAGTTCACGTAGCTATTCCTTCAGGAGCCACACCTTCTGAACACATTGCTTTCCCTGGACATTTGCATCTTAGATAATCCAGGCCAAAAAATCTTGGAAACTGGCCTCAATTCTTTTCCCCCTTTAACTCCACATCTGCAACAAAGGCATGCGGGTCCCGGGGCTGAGATCTCCAAGCCTGCTCAGATTGGAGCTGAGCATCCTCCACCCAGATCCTCCAGATTCCAGTAGGCAGGGGTTATACCCACCAACTGGCCCCCTGGTGCCGTGTAATCCCATCAACAGCCAAGACCCGGAGACTATAAAACCTAGCTCCTGGAAGAGCGTGGCCCATCTTATTCTTACCTTGGACAAACTGGCAGGCTACTGAATATAACCTGCTCACATGGCAGAGTCTGGCAAACTCCCCGTGGTGTAGCCAATATGCCAAATACCAGTAACAATGATGGGTCTCATTCTCCTAACCCTGAAGGAGCCTTGAATATGGCACTTTTAAAAAAAAATCTCTGGGCTAGGACGAAGGAGACGTTACTGGGGCCTGCTAGAGGCAAACGAACAACAGGATGGTCGTGATCGTCGTGATCGTGAACTTCACATCTATTTCATCAGCAAGTTTTATCAGCAGTACTTTTAAAAGACACCCCACATTGTTTCATTCCACGTCTCCATGTCACTCCCAAAAGGTACAACTGCCTCCTAACTGACTCCTTGCACCCCTACTGCTCACCCCCATGTCCCGCTCATTTCAGTAGTGGCTAAACGTTGTAAAACCAAACTCTGATTACTCTCTCCTCTTTACAAGCCTCTGTTGACTCTCACTGGGATTAGAACCAAAATTCAACCTCTTTTCTAAAGCCCGAAAGGCCCTGCCTGTTTGGAAACCTTTTACGATCACCACCTGCACTGCCGGAATAAATTCATTCAAAGATTTTACTAAAACGAACAGCTGGCACGGGGACTCCACTGCGCTTCACTTCGATTTAAGCAAAGGAATTGTTTGAGAATGATAATTCCAGCCCAGAGGCGCAAAGGAATTGTTTGAGAATGATAATTCCAGCCCAGAGGCTCTAGAACCAGGTCGACTCGGTCTGAGGATGATCCTTCCACACGAGCTGTGCGACTCAAGTCCACTGGCTTTTTTTTTTTTTTTTTTGATCTTTCATCTCATTCCTACTTTGGACAAACTGGCAGGCTACCGAATGTAACCTGCTCACACGGCAGAGTCTGGCAAACTCCCCGTGGCGTAGCCAATATGCCAAATACCAGTAACAACTAAGGGTCTCATTCTCCTAACTCTGAAAGAGCCTTGAATATGGCACTTTTTTAAAAAAAATCTCACGGCTAGGACGAAGGAGATGTTACTGGGGCCTGCTCGAGGCAATCGAAGGATAACAGGATGGTTGTGATTGGTTGTGATTTTTGATCTTGGAATTTAAGCCCAGACCATCTCAAAGGGCGCCAGGGATGAACAACGGGAGGCTTAAGGAAGGGCTCGTTGAAATGCAAAGCCAGGCAACTAATGCAATAGGGTCTTGATTAAATGAGGCAATAGGAGGGGAAGCCAAGGCAAGGGAGGAAACTAGGACGTTGGGATGCTTAGGAGGGAGGGTTGGCTTTTACTGGAGACAGGGGGTCATTGCATCACTACCCACCCTCCGCACAACAGCCACCTACGCTGCAGGAGGTCCTTTCTCCCTTGATCTTTGGGTACAAGTTACCTGCAGTGCCTTCCTCCTCCTCCTCCCTCTTCCCGCCGGAAGTCACGAACTACTTACCTCTGGGGCCGCACCATGGTCCCTTTCCAGGCTGAACACTTCGCAGCACTGAAGTCCAGTTGGCGGGGCCGGTGCTCCTAGGGTCAAGGCGGTTTCAATTCCCGCTCAAATCCGGACAGCAGAGTCCCCGCCCCCCAGGTGGCGTCCTCCAATCAGCACCAGGTTCGCTTGAGCCTGCGCATGCGCCTTGCGCGAGTGTCGCGCGCGCCCGAGCCCGGCTTGGTTCTTCCGCATCCGGTCCCGCAAAACACCTAGTTTGAGCTTTGCCACGGGACTTTCGTCACAACGCTGCTACGGAAATACACACCAGGAGAAGATCGCGTAGTTAAGCTTAAAATAAAATAGATTATACTGAATCAAAAAGAAACAAAGAGGAGAAAGAAGGAACAAAGTTAACTGAGGAATGTTCCGTAGGGTGCGGGCCCGAAGCGGGGACGGGTTTAGGCGAATCTGCCGACGCGAATCTGCAGGCTGTGCAAACCTGCTGGCAAGTCAGCTGATTAGCGGTTCTGCAGCTGCTCTCTGACAGCTGCAAGTGCGGGGCTCGCTCTGGATTTGGGAGCAAGGGGAGGTGAGCTCACAGCCCATAGCAAGGGAGCCCCCAAGACTCACAGCTTCGAGTGGAGGGACTGTTTGCATCATTGGGCTGGAGCTTCTTGCTCCGGCCGTCCTCCCTTTTCTTAATTTAAGCTTAGCGCCTCCACCCTGTTAGCGGTAGGAGTTCGATTCTGGCTTCTTCCTACGGTCCCGTTCGTTTTTTGGTTTTTGGTGGGGGCGGTCGTATGCGGAGGGAGGCTTTGGGGTCACAGCCGGCGGTGCTCAGGGGCTTACTCCTGGCTTTGCATACTCCTGCAAGTATTGGGCGAGGGGGAAGTGGAGGAGTCATTTGTGGTGCTTGAGAATCGAACCCAGTCGGTTGTGTGCAAGACAACCAACTTACTGGCATTACTCACCCCGTCCCAGTATTTTGCAAAAGAACCCTTTCTTGGTTTCATCGTTGCAAAAAAAAAAAGAGATTTTTTAATAGAGGAAATGAAACAAAGTACATTTGTTGAAACACTCTATCTCTAAATGGTAAACCAGTTGGAGCCAAAGCTAATATTATTTGTTTACCGAAAATATTAAATCTGAACAAAATTCCACGTGGGCTGTTATTCCTTTTCTTTTTACACTCTGCTATGTCGAACCTTTACTTCCTGTGCCTTAAAAGTGTGTCTTGAATTAGCAGCTTAAGATGTGGGGGTGGGTATTGATATGTTCATAGAGAATTCCTTTTGTTATTTCATTTCTAACTTCCATTTATTGACTTGTGTTTCCCAGGTGCTTTGGGTTTTCTATTTAAGTAATTCTTAAGACAGTCCCATGAACTAAAAGATTTGCTGGCATCTATCTAAGTCACGACCTAAAGAATGAGTACTAATAGCAGGGGAGAGAGGTAGCAGTGATCTAAACAAAGGGAATGCATTCCAAAAGATTGTGAGTGGAAAGAGAGACTTTGTGTTGAGAGAAATTCAGTCTAGCTGGAAAAATAAAGATGATGAACTTGTGTGTTGGGTTGGTGAGGGCTGGAGGTGCAACTTCTGTAAAAAGAGTCTAAAATATAAGCGGCGGTCCTGTAGACTGAGTTAAGGAATTTGAAATTTGTGGAGAGTAATGGAGTGTCAGAGAAATATTTCAAAGCATATAGACAACATGACCAGATAGGCACTTTGAGAAATATTATGATCTAACTTTAAAAAATTGAAAGGTATGAGAACATGGTTTGAAAAAGCTGAGGGGCGGGGCACCTTTAGGAAGCTCATAAGGAAGTTCTTATTTGATGTTGATTTTTCTTATTTCAGCAAGTTTTCCTTTAAGTCTAATTTGCCTAGAGGGTCCTGGACAGTCCCTGATTTGTGTGGTTTTTTTTTTTTCCCTCTCTCGTTGTGTTCAGTAACTGTTTCTTTTTTTCTTTTAATTTTTATTAGTGAGACATCATGAGGTACAGTTGTAGACTTACAAACTTTTGTGCTTGGGTTTCAATTATACAATGATCAAATACCCATCCCTCCACCAGTGCCCATTTCCCACCACCACGGATCCCAGTATCCCTCCCACCCCCCATCCCCCCATCCCACCCTGCCTCTGTGGCAGGGCATTCCCTTTTGTTCTCTCTCTCCTATTGGGTGTTGTGGTTTGCAAAAGAGGCAATGGGTGACAATCATGTTTGGTCTATAGTCTACTTTCAGATGCTTCTCCCATCCTGGGAGGATCCTCCCACACCCTTTATTTGGTGTTCCCTTCTCTATCTGAGCTCCCTTTTTCCCTAGCATGTGTGGCTGGCCTCCAAGCCATGGAGTAAAGTTCCTGGTACTAATCTCGGCCATTCTTGGGTGTTAGTCTCCTATTTTGCAGTAACTGTTTCTTAAGCTTCGTGTCTGATGCCAGTGTAATCCATCCTTCCTTCCTTCCTTCCTTCCTTCCTTCCTTCCTTCCTTCCTTCCTTCCTTCCTTCCTTCCTTCCGTGCTACACTTGAATGTGCTCAGGACTTAGCTTACTTCTGGCTCTGCACTCAGATCAGTACTGGCAGGGCTCAGGGGACTACATGGGGTGCCTGGGATTGAATTGGGGTCCGCTGCATGCAAGGGAAATTCCCTATCCACTGTACTATCACTCAGGTCCCCAATATAATCTTTTCTTTAAAATTCTTCCTTCCTTGTTCTTCAGAACCTTACCTAAGAAATCCAAAGTACTTTTCTGGACCTAATGTATATTAAGTGTCAAGTAAAGCGTTTTCATTAAAAGAGAAATATTTTGTTTTTATAATGTAGATAAAGGGATAGAAGAAAACTGGAATAATTGGCTTAGACTTAGACAAAATGTATGAAGGTGGGACTTTTTTTTGAGTTGGCATAGCAGTAAAGAAACGTGGGTTTCTGTGGACTTATAACCTGCTGCTTAAAAATTTTTTTTTCTGTTGTTCATTCTACAGAAACTGCTCTAGAAGATGAAGAAAAATAGAGAAAGATTCTGCAGCAGAGAAAGGGAATTTGTGTATAAATTTAAAGTCGGTCGCGAGTGCTTAGAACTGAGGGTTCCCCTCCAATTTCCTGTTGAAGAGAATGCCAGCCACTTACATGGTCGTCTCATGCTACTGCACAACTTACCATGCTTTATAGAAAAAGGTTGGTCTTGAAAATATTACTTTATGGGAGACTAACATCCAAGAATAGTAGAGAGTAGTACCAGGAGGTTTGCTCCATGGCTTGGAAGCCGGCCTCACATGCTGGGGGGAAAGGCAGCTCAGACAGAGAAGGGACCACCAAGTAAAGGGTGTTTGGAGGACCTACTCGGGATGGGAGACGTGTGCTGAAAGTAGACTATTGACTGAACATGATTGCCACTCAATGCCTCTCTTGCAAACCACAGGACCCAAAAGGAGAGAGAGAGAACAAAAGGGAATGCCCTGCCACAGAGGCAGGGTGGGATGGGAGGGATGGAGGATGGGAGGGATGCTGGGACCCGTGGTGGTGGAAGATGGGCGCTGGTGGAGGGATGGGTACTTGATCATTGTATAACTGAAACCCAAGCACAAAAATTTGTAAGTCTATAACTGTACCTCATGGTGTTTCACTAATAAAAAAAAATGAAAAAAAACAGAAAAGTTACCCCTTCTTCTGAAGCATAAATTTGATTAGCTGTTATTCTCTTAAAAAATGCTTCCTGGGGGCTGGAGCGATAGCACAGCGGGTAGGGCGTTTGCCTTGCACACAGCCAACAAGGCCGACCCAGGTTCGATTCCCAGCACCCCATATGGTCCCCCGAGCACCGACAGGAGCAATTCCTGAGTGCATGAGCCAGGAGTAACCCCTGAGCATCGCCGGGTGTGACCCAAAAAGAGAAAAAAAAAAAAAGCTTCCTTCCTTGGATAAAAGCATAAAATAGAACAATTACATGATGTAACTGAAATCTTACATGCGTCATTCATTCTTTTTAATAGTCAGGGCTTCAAAAAATGAAACAGTTATTTCAGTTGTCTCCCAAATGCAAACTATCTTGTGTGTGTGTGGCATATATGTGCTTGTATGTGTATTTGTTTAATATAACACTTTAAATCTGAAAAATCAGTTAACACTATTGTAACCATATTATCTAAGTTACTATTTTAAAAAAGGGAGGAAAATGTCATTAGTTACTCTAAGGGTTATGCTTAAGAGTTAAGAATTTTGGCATGGGGCTGGAGCAATAGCACAGCAGGTAGGGCGTTTGCCTTGCACGCGGCCAACCCGGGTTCGATTCCCAGCATCCCGTATGGTCCGCTGAGCACCGCCAGGGGTAATTCCTGAGCGCAGAGCCAGGAGGAACCACTGTGCATCGCCGGATGTGACCCAAAAAAGCCAAAAAAAAAAAAAGAATTTTGGCATTTCTTTATGCAGTAGTTTTGGGGTCATACCTACTGGGCTCAGGGCTTACTCCTGGGTCTGGGCCCAGGGATCATTCATGACAGGGCTCAGGTGATCATAGGGGGTACCGGGGATTGAACCTAGGTCAGCTGCGTGCAAGGCAAGTGCCCTCCCTGCTGTACTATCATTCTGATTCCTCTCCTTTTTCCCTTTTTGGACCACACCCAGTGGTGCTCAGGGTTTACTCCTGGCTCTATGCTTAAGGTTGACTTCTGGCAGTACTTGGGGACCATATGGGGACCAAGTCTGATTGGCCAGAGCAAATGCCCTACCTGCCGGACTATCACTCTGGCCACCGACTTTAGACATTTTATTCAGGGTTGAAGATAAATAAAAAATTGACATTGAAATGCATAGTTGCCGCGTAAAGTGTTATCTATTTATGCCTGGCTAATTATCCCTGTCACAGACTTAAAAGCAGCTCTGAGCCAGTTTATAGAAGAAGAATCTCTCAAAGACTATGATGATGATGCTGAAGCCTCCCTAGAAGCTGTGAAGTCGGGGGAAGTCGATTTACACCAACTGGCAAACACATGGGCCAAAGCTTATGCTGAGGTAAGAAAATAGACCAGGGGTCAGAGGGATGGTACAGCAGGTAAGATGCTAACCCAGGTTCTCTCTGAAGCACTGCTTATGGCCCCCTGAGCCCTGGCAGGAGTGATTCCTGAGCATACAGCCAGGAGTAAGCCTTAAACACAGCCAGATGTGGTCCAAAAACCAGAATAAATAAATATCTCAAATGTAAGTTTTAAGGAAATTCTAGATTTTGAGGAGTATTTCTTTTTTGGATGTTTCTCTACCCCCTTCCCGGCTTTTTAATTATTAAAAATATATATATATTTTTATTGGCTGGAGCAATAGTACAGTGAGTAAGGCGTTTGCCTTGCATGCAGCCAACCTGGGTTCAATACCCTGTATCCCATTTTGTCCCCTGAGCACTGTCAGGAGTAATTTCTGTGTGCAGCACCAGGAGTAACCACTGAGCTTTGCTGGGGTATGGCCCACAAAAGTAACAAAACCAAAAAAGTTTTATTGAATTGCAGTGAGATACGTTGTTACAAAGTTGTTCAGGGTTGGGTTTCAGTCATACTATGTTCCAACGCCCATCGCTTCACCAGTGTACGTTTCCCACCACCAATGTCCCAAGTTTCCCGCTACCCCATATCCCCTCCTGTCCCTGTCGCAGACACTTTCTCTCTCTCTCCCTCTCACTCTCCCTCTCTCTGTCTCTCTGTCTCTGTCTCTGTCTCTCTCTGTCTCTCTCTGTCTCTCTCTGTCTCTCTCTGTCTCTCTCTCTCTCTCTCTCTCTCTCTCTCTCCACCTCCCTCTCTCTCTCTGATAGGCTTTTAGATTGATAATACTGACATCGTTGTAGAATCTTTTTGTTCCTCTATGTACAGATATTTATGCCATAACCTATAATGCAGGTTTGTGCTCCTGTGTATACAAAAACTATACTATATACTTTGCAGCATCTTTGTAAAATGAGTGACCACTATTGTATTTCTAACCAGCACAGGGTTACAAGATATAGTCATTAAATTTATAGTACACCCAGTTAAATTATAGTTTCAGAAAAACAAATAATTTTTTTAGTGTATGTGTTTCTCCTGATTTCTGAGAGTTGTATCTTTTTTATTTTTATTTTATTTTTTATTTTATTTTTTGCTTTTTGGGTCACACCCAGCGATGCACAGGGATTCCTCCTGGCTCTACACTCAGGAGTTACTCCTGGCGGTGCTCAGGGGACCATATGGGATGCTGGGAATCGAACCTAGGTCAGCTGCATGCAAGGCAAACACAATACCCGCTGTGCTATTGCTCCAGCCCCAGAGTTGTATCTTTTTTAAATTGTATCTTAGAGACAGTGTATTGAGGATGTATTACATTTCAGATTCGATACTGGGCCATAAAATAGGGAACGAGACAGATACAAGATGAAAATTACAGTTTTGAGAACCAAGCTCAGAACTGTGTAAACAATGTGAGATGCAAGCAAACTGTAATGAGTGAGTTATAGTCCACGCTAAGCAACTCGGTCTATAAGATTTCAAAAGAAATTGATTTCATGGCTCCTATTTGATGCCTCTCTTCCGGCCCCCCATCCCCGCCCTGGTCACAGGGGTTACTCCTGGTGGTATTCGGGGGGGCACTATATGGTCTGCTGGGGATTGAACCCAGGTGAGCCCCATGCAAGGGAAACACCCTACCCACTGCATTATCACTCCAGTCCCTGATGCCTCTCCTTTTAAAAATTTATTATTAGCTTACAAAATGATAGGATTGCAGGGGTGTAAGTCCTGTGTATCCATCGAGGATTCACTGCACTTGCCACCAAAGTTCTAGTGCCATCTGGTCACCCAAATTAACCCTGTACCCATTTCTCCCATCCCTGGCCCTTGCCCTTTCATAACCACTAGAATTCTTTTAGAAGTTCGCTTGTTTTTTTTTTTAATGTAGCACTTGTTTGTTTTTCTGTCAGTTTGGTACATACTAAGTTTTCATAGCTTCTTTTAAAGATGCCATTCTTTTTCACATACTTCCTTTTCTTATTCTATTCATCATGATTTTCCAAGCAGTTGATAAGAGAGTTTTAGACATTCCAACTCCATCTCCAAACTCATCACCAGTGTCAGCGTCCCTCCATCAATGACCCAAGGTTCCCTCTTTGCTCCACCCCTCTTCCTTAGCAAGAAACTTCTCTAGTAATGAACTATAGAAATTATCCCTAAAAATACAGTCTTCACGCACGTCATTTTAACCGTATAGAACCGCCGTTGCATTAAAAAAAAGAGAGATGACTGATCATTTACGTCAAAGAAAATGTGCAGCTAATAAAATAAAGCAAAGATATATTAAGAGAATAAGGCCACTTCATGAATAAACCGATGCATTTTGTGTCTTAAAATACTAGACTCAAAAAACCAATTTTTTTAGTGTCTCTAAAGTGATTTATATTGCCCAGAGTTATTTATCTCAGTGGAAGATCATGTCCTTCATGTGAGTGAGAGCGGATTCAATTCCCAGCCTGATCAAAAATGAATAACTGAGGGGCTGGAGCGATAGTACAGTGGGTAGGGCATCTGCCTTGCATGCAGTCGAACCGGTTTCGATTCCCAGCATCCCATATGGTCACCTGAGCACTGTCAGGAGTAATTCCTGAGGGTATGAGCCAGGACTAACCACTGTGCATTGCTGGGTGTGACCCCCCCCCCCCAAAATGAGTATCTGAGTGAATGCGTTCATGAATAATGGGTGGTTTGCATTTACAGCTGAGGGTACATCTTTGCCTATGGAGACTTTAAAACCTACTTAGGAGAGACAAAGATGCCCACTTAGAACACCTGCAGTAAGTGTTAGGTTTAGGAGTAAATCTTGTGAGAACATGGAACAAAGTGAAGGCAAATAAGAGAAAAAAAGAGGTCTTCTCTTCCTTTTCTTTATTACTTTATTGAGGTGTAACTGACTTGTCACACTACTAGTGTAAATACAAATACTGTTGTATCAGTTACTGTCACTGTCCTTGATTTGCTCAAGCGGGACCAGTAACGTCTCCATTGTGAGACTTGTTGTTACTGTGTTTGGCACATCGAATACATCACGGGGGGCTTGCCAGGCTTTGCCGTGCAGGCAAGATACACTCGGTAACTTGCCGGGCTCTCCTAGAGGGATGGAGGAATGGAACCCAGGTCAGCCGGGTGGGCTGCGTGCCAGGCAAACGCCCTACCCGCTAATGATTCTGTGTTGTAGGAGTGATAGCACAGTGGTAGGGCGTTTGCCTCGCATGCAGCCAACACGGCCAAGCCGGGTTCGATTCCTCCGCCTCTCTCGGAGAGCCCGGCAAGCTACCAAGAGTATCTCGCCCGCATGACAAAGCCTGGCAAGCTACCCATGACATATTTGATACGCCAAACACAGTAACAACAGGTCTCAAAATGGAGACGTTACTGGGCCCGCTCGAGCAAATCGATGAACAAAGGAAGGACCGTGACCGTGATTCTTGGGTGTTAGTGTCCCATTCTCTTACTTTATATTCCACAAATGAGTGCAATCTTTCTATCTCTCTCTCTGACTCATTTCAGTTAACATGATACTCTCCATGTTGATCCACCTATGTGAAATCCATCTATATGAAAATTTGCATTTTATGTTTTTTTTTTATTGAATCACCGTGAGCAACACTTACAAAGCTTTTATGTTTGAGTTTCAGTCACACAATGATTGAACACCCATACTCCGCGAGTGCACATTTTCCACCACCCCTGCCCCCAGTCTACCCCCCACCTTCCTAACCCTTCCCCTGCCTCTGTAGCTGACAATTTCCCTCATACTCTCTCTCTACTTTTGGGTTTTTGGTTTTCAATACAGATACTGAGAGGCTATCACGTTTGGTCCTTTATCTACTTTCAGCACACACCTGCCATCCTGAGTGATCCCTCCAACCATCATTGACTCAGTGATCCCTTCTCTATTCCAGCTGCCTTCTCTCTCATGAGGCAGGCTTCCAACTATGGAGCAATCTTCCTGGCACCGTCTCTACTGCCCTTGGGTATCAGTCTCATATTATGTTATTTTATATTCCACAAATGAGTGCAATCCTTCTATGTCTGTCCCTCTCTTTCTGACTCAGTACCACTTAGCATGATACTCTCCATGTCCATCCACTTATAAGCAAATTTCGTGACTTCATCTTTCCTAACAGCTGCATAGTATTCCATTGTGTAGATGTACCAGAGTTTCGTTAACCAGTCATCTCTTCTCGGGCACTCGGGTTGTTTCTAGATTCTGGATATTGTGAACAGTAATATAGCATTATTAACAATAGTCACCTGCTGTATATTATACCCCAAGAACTTATTTTATTATAGAAAATTACATAATCTATTTGCCTTTTGGGGATTTTTTTTTTTGGAGGTGGGGATGGGACATGACACCTAACAGTGCTCCGGAGGCTGCTCCATGCTCTGTGCTCGGTGTCACTCTGCTTTTCTGGGGACCAAATGATACCAGGGTTGGTCCTAGGCTCCCCACATGTGAAGCATGTGTTCGGCTGATAGAACCATCTCTCTGGCCCAGAAATTTGTAACTTTTACTTATGTAGATAGTTTTTCGGCTTCTGGGCCACACCTGGCAGTGTTCAGGGCTTACTCCTGGCTCTGCACTCAGAGATCACTCCTGGCAGGGCTCAGGGGACCGTAAGGGGTGCCAGGGATCAAACCCGGGTCAGCTGCTTCCAGTAGTAGCCGATAGTACCTTTCCTGCTGTACTGTCACTCCATGTGGGTGACCCCTTCCAAAGCCCTGCTCTCTTGTGCCCTGAATGCTGTGTTTTTAATAAGCCCCAACAGTTTGTAACCTTTAATCCTGTTACCCATCTTCCCTCCACCTCAGCCCTGATCGTCAGAAATTCGTTCTTTGTCTCTATAGGCTTGGATTTTCTTTTCTCTTTTCTTAAGTCCCACATCTAAGTGAAATCATGAAACCTGTGCTTTTTTCCTGTCTGACTTATTTCACTTAGCATTGTTTCATCCATGTTGTCATGAAGGGCAAAATTTCCTCCTCCTTAAAAACAAAAAAAAGACCCCGATATATTCAGGTAACATCTACCAACCTGTTCTTTGTAAAATGACAACAGCACTGCTGTGTGACGTCTGCTTTTGGTGGTCTGCTTTGGTGGGGTTTTGACTTTGATTTTTTTTGTTTTGCTTTTGTTTATGGTTGGGGGGGGGGGGCTGGAGTGATAGCACAGCGGTAGGACGTTTGCCTTGAGCGCAGCCAGCCTGGCTGAGCTGGGTTCGATTCCTCTGCCCCTCTCAGAGAGCCTGGCAAGCTATGAGAGTATTCAATATGCCAAACACAGTAACAAGAAGTCTCACAATGGAGATGTTACTGGGCCCGCTCGAGCAAATTGATGAACAACGGGAGGACAGACAGACAGACAGGATGGTTTGGGAGCCACACCCAACTGCTCTCGGGAGCTTTCCCTTGGTGCTCCAAGTTCACTCTTGGTGCAGGGGGACACAGGCCACTGACCCTGACGTCACTGGTTTTCATCTTCTGGCCCAAGAAGCACTGCTGGACCCTGTGGAAGCCCCTGGTATATGTGACCCTGCCATGGATAAGTTGTCTGGTTAGTTCTTTCTCACCCACAATTGGCACCTAGTCTAACATGTCGTTTATAGGAGTATTTATAGTTTAGAGGAACATGACGTAGGAACTCCATAGTTCATAGAACGCTCTGAAACAGTAGATGCCACAGGTCTGTAATTGTTGGTTAGCTAGATGAAGGCTCTAGTGCCTGATCACCTGTCATAACCTGGAAGGAGAACTTACTAAAGACACGGCATTCAGGGCACAAGAGAGCAGGGCTTTGGGTGGGTTACCTCCATGGCATTTGGGTGATCCAGTTGGCAGCATGTGATGGAGGGGAAGGCCGAGAACTCGGAGTCAGGGCTAAGCGAGAGCGAGAGTGCAGAGAGGTATCTTAGGTATCAGCAGCCCTGAGGGGTGAGGTTTTGCCACATGGTTTGAGCATCAAAGCAGCTGAGCTATGGACCGAAGGGTGGAAGGGGGGAAATAATGGTCCTTCTGTAGGCTACTATTTTTTTTTTAAATTCTCTATCAGTTCTTAGTGAACTCCACATTCCTCTCAAGTGTCATGTTTCCCCCTTCCAGTACCATCTTTCTTGAGGGAATAGCAAGGGGAGACTGTTCAGTGGCTTCTGCCTCTTTGTGAAGCTGCTCAAGGCTGAGGTTTTTTGTTTTTTGGTTTTTTTTTCTGCTTTTTGCATCACACCCAGCAGTGCTCAGGGGTTACTCCTGGCTCTGCACTCAGGAATTACTCCTGGCAGTGCTCGGGGGACCATATGGGATGCCGGGGATCGAACCTGAGTTGACCACATGCTAGGCAAGCACCCTACCCGCTGTACTATAGCTCCAGCCTCGAGGCAGAGTTTTTATTTTTTATTATTTTATAGACTTATAAATTTTTGTGCTTGGGTTTCAGTTATACAATGATCAAATACCCACCCCTCCACCAGTGCCCATTTCCCACCACCACAGATCCCAGTATCCCTCCCCCCCATCCCTCCCCATCCCACCCTGCCTTTGTGGCAGGGCATTCCCCTCTGTTCTCTCTCCTTTTGGGTGTATTGGTTTGCAAGAGAGGCATTGAGTGGCAGTCATGTTTGGTATAGTCTACTTTCAGCATGCTTCTCCCACCCTGGGAGGATCCTCCCAACACCCTTTATTTGGTGCTCTCTTCTCTATCTGAGCTTCCTTTTCACCTAGCACATGTGGCTGGCCTTCAAGTCATGGAGCAAAATTCTGGTACTAATCTCAGCCATTCCAGGGTGTTAGTCTCCCGTTTTGTTGCTTTATGTTCCCTACCATGTGACAGGGACAAATGGAGACATTACTGGCGCCCGCTCGAGCAAATCGACGATTAACAGGATGATAAAGTGATAAGTGATGTTCCCCAGATGAATGCAATCTTTCAGTGTCTATCCCGCTCTTTCTGACTCATTTCGCTTAACATGATACTTTCCATGTAGTACCACTTGTATGTAAATTTCATAACTTCATCTTTTCTAACAGCTACATAGTACTCCATTGTGTAAATGTACCAAAGTTTCTTTAACCAGTCATCAGTTCTCGGGCACTCAGGTTTTTTCCAGATTCTGGCTATTGTAAAGAGTGCTGCAATGAACAAACAATTGCAGATGTCACTTCGACTATACCATTTTGCCGAGGCAGAGTTTTAAACCAATGCTGCCGGCCATTGTAGGTAGCCGAGTGTCTATGCCTCTGCACTCAGCTCCTTCCTACAAAATTTCACTCTGAATCTGAAATGAATGTCGAACAGAGTTTGAGTCCCACGGGCTGGTTATTATTCAGCCATGCCCTGTCCAAAGGTGTGGAGCAGGGACCAGAGAGATGCGACAAATAATAAGGCACTTGCCTTGCATGCGACTGACCCCCAAATGATTCCCCAGCACCCTATGTGGTCGCCTGAGCTCTGCCAGGAGTGATCCCTGGGCCAAGAGACCAGAGGAAAGCCCTGAGCCCCCACACCGGGTATGGCCCAAATAAAGTAGGTTAAGATAGAGAGTGATGATCAGAGTACAGCTTCAGCCCTTAGGAAGCACAGAGGAGTTGAAATCGTGTATGTTGTTTCATTTTGCACAACTTGTTTGGTTACAAAGAGCATCAGAAATCCCAACATCCTGTCAATCACCATTAGCATTAATACCCCCCTCCTGTGTAAGTGTGTGTGTTGTTTTATTGAAATGAGATAAAAGCAGGTCTAGTTGTGTGTGTGTGTGTGTGTGTGTGTGTGTGTACACACTTTCCTCCACTGTGTAAGTTGTTCGATCACGATCACGACGATCATGACCATCCTGTTGTTTGTCGATTGCCTCAAGCAGGCCCCAGTAACATCTCCTTCGTCCTAGCCCTGAGATTTTTTAAAGAAGTGCCATATTCAAGACTCTTTCAGGGTTAGGGGAATGAGACCCATGATTGTTACTGGCATTTGGCATATTGGGTACTCCAGACTCTGCTATGTGGGCAGGTTACATTCAGTAGCCTGCCAGTTTGCCCAAAGTAAGAATTAGATAATAAGATGTCACGCGGCCGCCAATGTGGCCGCGTGCTTCCAGGAGCTGGGTTTTATAGTCTCCGGGTCTTGGCAGTTGATGGGATTACACGGCGCTAGGGGGCCAGTTGGTGGGTGTGACCCCCGCCTACTGGAATATGGAGGATCTGGGTGGAGGATGCTCAGCCCCGATCCGAGCAGGCTTGGAGATCTCAGTCCTGGGACGCGCGTGCCTTTGTTCCTCTGCCGGTACCTTCAGGTGTGCGGAGAGTGGTCTCAGCATGGTGGTGGCTAGTTCCGGAGGTTTTCAGCTGCCGGAGCCCTGGTTGGGGCGGGGAGGGAAACTCAACCCACTCCCCTCCAAGGGGTCCCGGCGAGGACAGCCAGGCGTGGGGGCAGGAGACTGCGCTGTGTAAGTTGTTAACATGTGTTAACCTAGCTTATGTCTTTCCATGTCATTTGCTTATTTTGATCTTTGGGACACACCTGGCGGTTCTCGGGGCTTCCTTCTGGGTTTGTGCCCAGGGCTGGCTCCTGGCAGGGCTGGGGAGAGGGAGGCGGGTTGAGCGCGTGTGTTGCAGGAGACTGAACCAGGGCTTGCCATGTGCAGGGCAAGTGCTTTAACCACAGTGCTGTTTCTCGTTCCATTCTTTCCATATTTTTAATACCCTTACATAAATAAGTCTTTTCTGGTTCTTGTGTGATATGAAAAATGAAATCATCCTATACATATTTTCCTCATCAAGTCTGAAATAAAAATACTCTGTGATGATTTAAGATGGCCTGTATTGTCTTGTAGACCACATTAGAGCACGCCAGGCCGGAGGAGCCCAGCTGGGATGAAGACTTCGCAGATGTGTACCATGACCTCATCCATTCCCCAGCCTCGGAAACGCTCCTCAATTTGGAGCATAATTACTTTGTCAGTATCTCAGAGCTGATTGGTGAGAGAGACGTGGAGCTGAAAAAATTGCGAGAGAGGTATTTCTCATTTTCATAACCGGATCTGACATTGTGAAATTAGGGTGACCTGAAGAACAGCTTCTGTTCACTTTCTGTAAGATTAAAAAAATAAGATATTAGAATTAAAAATTTTATATGTTAAATCTTTCACTGCAACCAGGAAAGTCTTTGTAATTTTATGAAACCTTCAAGTGATTATTTTAGATACATTTTGGTGCCTATCTATCTATCTATCTGTCCATACTCTATCTTTCTCTCTCTCTCTCTCTCTCTCCCCCTATACACACACACACACACACACACACATATTATTTATTTATATCTATTTATTTAATAACTTTTAGGGTCATACCCAGAAATGCTCCAGGGTTACTCCTGGCTCTGCACTCAGGAATTACTCCTGGCAGTGCTCAAGGGACCCTTATGGGATGCTGGGAATCGAACCTGGGTCGGCCGCATGCAAGGCAAATGCCCTCCCTTCCTGTCCTCATGCTCCAGTCCCTATATTCTTTTTCTCTTGTTTGATTTTTGTTTGGGGACCACACCTTGCAGTCCTCAGGGCTCACTTCTGGCTCTGCACTTAGGGGTCACTCCTGGCGGGGCTTGGGAGACCATCTGGGATGCCAGGGATTCAACCCAGGTTGGCCATGCGCAAAGCAAGCGCCCTACCTGCTGTGCTGTCGCTCCCACCCTAGGAATTATATTCCTATTTCTACTGAGAGGAATAAGTTGCCTCTGACGAAGCTTTTCCTTGTTCCAGACAATGTACAAAATGCTTTAAGTCAGTGGGTAAGGTTGCTGTCATGAAAGAACGCACGCCGTGTAGTTTAACACACTGGCGCTGGCGTGTACCACCAGTGGCACTTGAATTGATTCAGATAGCACCAGTTACAGCGTCAATGTGGCAAACCAGTGGTTTTCGACCTTTCTACCTGCAGACTGGTCCCACACTGTGGCTTGGAGGTTGACAGCCGCCTGTTCCAAATGAAAGGAGTTAGGCCAGTGGTTTGGGACCTTTTTGTGCCTACAGGCGACCACCAGTCCACAGAGCAGCTGTGGGTTGAGCCACAGGAGTGGGACTCTGACAGTGCCACAGGCTGCTCACGTCTGGAGTACCGGATGCAGGCGCCCGCAGCTCTGGGGTCGGATGAAGCCCCCTCCTGACTCACACGCATGCTCACCTGGGCATTTCCCACGGTGGCAGTTCTCCTAGAGAGAAAAAGGCCTTGAGAGCGAAAGCCTCTGTTCCACTGTCCCTTATTCCGTCAAGAGGCCTCGAGCCTCCTCTCAGCCTCCTCTCAGCTGAATTCCTTCCCCAAAGGGCTCATCTGCAGGTTCCATGCCATTGGGATTCAGGTTTCAAGCCAAGTATTTCAAGGAGACGCAACCTGCAGTTCCTGACAGGTGCCCTCTTCTCTGATCTGTGCTGCAGCCATTCTACAGATGAGGAAACTGGGGCTGAAGTAGGTTCAGGGACTTGGCTAAGGGCCAACCGGAATTTGAATCCTGGAAGTCTGACTCCAGAGCTCTTAATCACAAGATCATGCTGCCTCTCTTTTCAGAATCACCCCAAATTTTGGTGCTTGATCCATTTTCCTGTTTTGTAAACAAAAATGACTCCCCCTATACTTCTATCTTTTGAATACCATTTTGCATCTTTGAAAGGTGGGTTTGTTTTTTTTGTTCCAACCAGGAATATAACTTAGCAGTAGAACACTTGCTTTGCATGTGTATGGCACTGAGTTTAGTGTTCAGTCCCTAGGACCACATACACGGAGACACACACACACACACACACACACACGATATTTATGGGCTGGAGAGATAGTAAAGCAGGAAAGGTGCTTACCTTGTACACAGCCCACCTGGGTTGAGTCCCCTCTAACATATATGGGTATATGTTTCCTCCTCCATTGCCCCGCCAAAAGTGACCACTGAGTACAGAGCAAGGAGTAAACCCTGAGTACAGCCAGGTGTGCCCCCCACAACAGTATTAATTTGACACATTTGTAATCACGTATTTTGAAATGCCTTCAGGATGTCATAATTGTCACACCTAACATACTAAATCAATATATAATAGTTATTTCATTTCATTTCATGTGAAATGCAGTAAAGCATTGTCTTATCTTAGTCATAGAAAATGCTTATGTGTTACTGACTACTTGGTGTTTTCATTTAGGGTGTTACTGAAATTTGATTTGTTGAATTCTATCTTTTTTCATTGAAAATACGTGTTAGCAAGCCAGCATTATGGTTATTTCCATAAAACTCCAAAATGGCAATGATACCTTTTATCCACTAGAGGGAACATAAGTTATGTAAATGTATTTATATCTAGGCTTACATTTATAAATGTTAAGCAGTTAATTTCTGTTTTAAATAAAAATCTGACTTCTAGTACTTCAAAGTAATGAGGTCATCTACAATATATTTAAGTGTGGGCTTAATGGAATTTATGCTAAAACATGCAAAGTGATATATTAACAAATTCGTTTCTCTTAGAGTACATAAGTACCTTCATCAGTTGTTATAAATTAATATAAATTTGCCTTTAAGAACAATTGACTTAAATCATCTAGAATAATGGTAAAATCCTTTTGGTTTGGGTATTTGTTTTATTTTTGCCAAATTTGTAGAAAATGTTTTAGAGCAAATTATTTTTATACATTTGTATTCAAAGACACTTTTTAGCCAGGAAGTGTTAATGGGCTTATTTATTAAAACAGGCTTATGGAAAAGGCAATTCTTGGCAGCTCAGTATGTGTTCACAGTGTAAGCACAACCCACACAATTATTTGTTTTGGTTTTGGTGTATTGAGTCACACCCTGCAATGCTCAGGGGTTACTTCTGTCTCTCCACTCAGAAATCACTCCCGGCAGTGCTTAGGGGACCATATGGGGTGCGAGGGATTGAACCCAGGTCAGCCACGTGCAAGGCAAGAGTCCTACCCTTTGTCATATCTCTCTGGCACAATCCACACAATTAACACTGAGATGAAGAAATAGAGTATTTCTAGCTCTTCGAAGCCCCCTTCAAGCCCACTAGTCATTACTTACTTGCCCCTGTAAATAACCATTATCTGAACTTCTAATACCGTTCGTTAATTTTTTCTAGAGGAAATTTTTAATTTTTCTTAAATTAAAATTTCCTATCTAATCATTACATGGATAATGAAGATTAAAAACTAAAATATATCTTTCGTGCATATATTATATTTTTCTGCACAGGAATCTTTGTGCCTTAATACCATTCTGATCCTTGGAGCTTAACTAGCGGCTTCTACTTATAATATAAACTAACTTCAAAGGTTGAAATCACCGTAACTCTCTTGTAAATGAGTACCTGTTTGTAAATAGGTAGGAAATGAATTTAGGCAGGAATTACAACGCATCTTGTTGGAAGAGATTTATAAATGACAAGGAAAAGCAACTAGGTGTCAGTGGCTTTCATTTATAAATTAAATTTAGACTAACATTCAGCTCTGTCAGTGGAACTCTTGACATTATATGACATGGTAGTCCTTTTTTAAAAAAATTTTTAATTATTTTTAATTTTTTAATGAATCACTGTGAAGTACAGTTACAGACTTACAAACTTTTGTGCTTACGTTTTAGTCATACAATGGTTGAATACCCATTCCTCCACCAGTGCCCATTCTCCACCACTAATGTTCCCAATATCCCTCTCACCATCCCTATCCTATCCCCACCCCTGACCCCCACCTCTGTGGCAGAGCATTCCCTTTTAATCTCTCTCTCTCTCTCTCTCTCTCTCTCACTCTCTCTCTCTCTTTCTCTCTCTCTCTCTCTCTCTCTCTCTCTCTCTCTCTCTCTCTCTCTCTCTCTCTCCTTTAGGATGTTGTGGTTTGCAGATATTAAGTGGCCATCATGTTCGGTCTCTACTTTCAGCACGCATCTCCCATCCTGACAGGCCCTCCAAGCATCCTTTACTTGGTGGTCCCTTCTCTATCTGAGCCACCTTTTCCCCCAGCATGTGAGGCCGGCTTCCAAGCTGTGAAGCAATCCTCTTGGTTGGTCCTATCTCAAATATCCTTGGGTGTTAGCTTTCCATCCTGTTACATTATATTCCACAAATGAGTGCAGTCCTTCTATGTCTATACCTCTCTTTCTGACTCATTTCACTTAGCATCATACTCTCCATGTCATCCACTTATATGCAAATTTTATTACTTCGTCTTTTCTAACAGCTGCATAGTATTCCATTGTGTAGATGTACCAAAGTTTCTTTAACCGGTCATCCATTCTCAGGCACTCAGGCTTTTCCCAGTCCCTAATCCCCCCCCCCCCCCCCAGCCCCCAACACGAACACCTACCATCCTTCTTCCCACATCTCTATTTCCAAGACTCTACATGAGATTCTGGGTATTATTAGTTAGTAATTATTCGTTGCTATTCCTAAATTTATTCCTGTATCATGGGATTTGTTTTCCCTATGGAGAGGTGGGTTGGAGCGATAGCACCAGTAAGGTGTTTGCCTTGCACGTGGCTGACATGGCCAACCCGGATTCAATTCCTCCACCCCTCTCAGAGAGCCCGGCAAGCTACCGAGAGTATCTCACCCGCAAGGCAAAGCCTAGCAAGCTCCCCATGACGTATTCAATATGCCAAAAACAGTAACAACAAGACTCACAATTTATTGTGAGATGTTATTGGTGCCCGCTCGAGTAAATCGATAAACAATGGGAGGACAGTACTATCCATGTAGAGATGGCTCAGTAAACCTGGAGTGGTTGCATTCCTTGAAAGTTTGATGAATATACCTGACCCACTTATTTCTGTCTTAGACAGGGCATCGAAATGGAAAAAGTGATGCAGGAGTTGGGGAAATCTCTGACAGATCAAGATGTCAATGCCTTGGCGGCTCAGCATTTCGAATCCCAACAAGTAAGTGAAGGACAATGACGTTTAGGGAGACGATTTCTTTTGCTTGAAGTTTTCATCAAACTGATTGATCCGTTGGTATGCTGTCTCTTCCGAGGTCTTAGAAAATAAGTGGTCTAATGAATTAAAGCAGTCGACGGCCATCCAGAAGCAAGAGTATCAGGAGTGGGTGATAAAACTTCATCAGGACCTGAAAAACCCCAACAACAGCTCCCTGAGGTACAGCTTGTGTATTTTATATGTATTCACTTCATTCACATGAAGGTGCGTGATTAGTAAGAGCTTTTATTCATTGAAAAGTTTAACCCTTGCAGTTACGGATACTTGCAAGTGGCCCATGAAGAATCAGGATAAAGTCATCTTTTTTTTTTCTTTTTTTTTTTTTGCTTTTTGGGTCACACCCGGCAATGCACAGGGGTTACTCCTTGGCTCTGCACTCAGTAATTACTCCTGGTGGTGCTCAGGGGACCCTATGGGATGCTGGGAATCGAACTGGGGTTGGCCGTGTGCAAGGCAAACACCCTACCTGCTGAACTATCGCTCCAGCCCAATAATGTCGTCTTGATGAAGGATGAAGTTGGGGGAGCAGCAGAGAGCCAACACCACTGCTAAGGCACTTGGCCTTTGCATTCAGCAACCTGGTTCACTCCCCAGAACTCCATACGGTTCGTTGAGCCCCATCAGGAGTGATCCCTAAGCTCAGAGCCAGGAGTAAGTTCTGAGCACAGGTGGGTGTGGCCCCCAAGCCAAAAAAAAAAATAAAAAACCATAAATGAAATTGGGAAGGTGGAATTGGGAAAGTGATTGGTTAATAGCCTTAATTCCCTCCATAAATCTTAGCTATACCCACACCCCTTGTAAGTATTAATAACCTGGGTATGACCTCATTTCTTCAAATTATTTTCCATTCAGCACAAATATTACCTGAATATCTCTTCAGTGCCAAATGACTCTCCAGTGCCAAACACATCCTAAGCAGTAAAACAGAAACATCATCATATGGAGCTTACATTGTAAAAGAATTATTTGGGCTGTTTTGGGAGGGGCTCTGCTTTAAGGGTACTCTCTGTGGTGCTTAGAGGCTATTCATGGCTCCGTTCCCAGAAGTCACCTCTGCAGTGCTTGGGGTGCCATATGTGATGTCAGGGATCAAACCAGGACCGGACACATGCAAAGCAAGTGCCTGATCCCTTGTACTAATTCTCCAACCTGAAAAGAAGGACATGTATGCAAACAACTGCTGTGCAGAGTGATACAGACACACAGTCACACAGTCACGTACAAGGCTCAGGCTTTGGGTCGAGGACCTTCTGTAACTCAGAGCTCATGCACTTCCTCTGACCTGAATACACTGTTTTATGGATTCCTGAGGGTTTGTCAGTATCTATTATTTCTTTTTTTTTTTTTGCTTCTTTTGGGGGGGCGGGGGGGGTCACACTCGGCATTGCACAGGGTTTACTCCTGGCTCATGCACTCAGGAATTACTCCTGGTGGTGCTCAGGGGACCATATGGAATGCTGGGAATCGAACCTGGGTTGGCCACGTACAAGACAAATGCCCTACCCGCTGTGCTATTGCTCCAGCCCCATTACCTGTTATTTCTTGATTCTGTATTTGTATATTTGTAAATTCCTTTCTTTCTCTCAAATGTTGAATTATGTTAAGTTGGTAATCTAATCAAGGCAGCAGCATCACTCTGCAGGAGTAGAGGTGACATTTGTAAAGTGTTCGACCCCCCCCCTCCCCCCCCACACACACATACCTCCACTCGTCTGCATTGCAGAGAGAAATCATGTGTCATTTTTATTGTGGTGGTGGTTGTTATTGTCGTTGTGTTATACCCCGATCCTTGCTGCCTGGTTAGCTCTTAACATTGGTGCATTGGACGTGCTCAGTCATTATCTGGGGGATGGATGGACAGTTGAATGAATTTTGCTCAAATGTCAGGTGTCTGTATCACCTCTTATCTGAGTATTACCAACTTTCAACTGCCTTATTGTTTCCCCCGAAACAACACCTAGAAATATCTAATTAATTTTATTTTTACCAATGGAGTGACATCCCGGAGGCTAACACGTAAGGATCCACTTTATTTCCAGGGCCAGGAATAGGGGAAAGAGAAAGGGAGTGTCGGGGAAGGATGGTTGAGGAGCAACTGTGTTTTTTGTCACCTGCCTTGGTGCTTCTCCCACTGCGGGTCTGCTGGGGACCATCCCGTATCCTGTGCTTTCCTATCAGCCTTTCAGAAACAGCCACAAAATAAAATGAAATGGATCCGAACAGAATGAAGTAGAGCAGGACAAAAGGATCTGAGTGTGTCCTGCATGAGATTTTCTGTGAATGAAGGTGGCTGGAGCGATAGCACAGCGGTAGGGTGTTTGCCTTGCATGCAGCCAACATGGCCGACCCGAGTTCGATTCCTCCACCCCTCTCGGAGAGCCCGGCAAGCTACCGAGAGTATCTCGCCCGCACGGCAGAGAGCCTGGCAAGCTCCCCGTGACGTATTCAATATGCCAAACACAGTAACAACAAAGTCTCCAATGGAGACGTTACTGGGCCAGCTCGAGCAAATCGATGAGAAACGGGAGGACCATGACCATGAAGGTGTGTAGCGGACCAAAACGTATACTGCATATTGAGCTCAGAAAAGGGAAGATGGGAAAAATCCTTAGCTGCGAAAGGGATTTCAGGAATCCAAGCTGTAGAGATATGTTTCTTTGTGGAAAGACGCTATCATTCTGTCGGCGTAGAGATGACGTTTGCAAAGTGCCCCGTCCCCACCCTCACTGGTCTTACATTGTGAGTCATGTGCGTAGACGTGCAAAGTTAAATTTTTCTCAATTTCCTGGCTCCTCCTTTTTCGAATGGGAACAGTGTTCTCTCGTGGCTTTCTCCTAAGATCAGGATATTTTACAAATATCAATTTATTGTTAGGCTGACTTGGGCATATTTACTAATGAAGTCAACCAATGAGACTAATAAGATTGTGCATAATAACCATAAAAATTTAGCCAGGGGAATGGTTTTCTATTATTGGCTTCTATCATCCTTGCATACCGTGAGATTTGATTTGAACAGTTGTGCAGTTTGAATGAAAGCCTCCATGGAAACGTTTGCAGGCAATACAAGAGCCGACTAGAACAGAAGAGTCCTTTACAGGGACGCAAATGTTGGTGGGGAAGAAGAAAACAGTTGGAAGGAACAAAAACAAACCAAAGAATATATTGAAATAAACTTTACTGTTTTCTTGTTATTTATTTGTTGCTTAAATTTAAATTTTTTATTTCTACCCATTTGTGTCTTTTCTAGTTTCACCTAAAATCATTCCAGAGAGGGAATATGTGTATGTGTGTGTGTGTGTGTGTACACATGTCACACACGTGTATATATATATAGACATACATATATGCATGTATATAATGTATAATGTGTATATTATAGGATATATTATGTACAATTATATAATATAGTATATACTTTGAATATATATTTAAATTAGTCACTTTAGTGTAACAATAAGTTATCTTGATTGATTGTCCTCACGGGCCACTAAAATATTACGTGCAACAATGTGCATTGTGCTTCTAATGACTAAAGAGAATAATTTGCATTACTTAACTGTGAGGAAATGAGAGCGCACGTGGGAATTTTAGAACCTGTTGTCGCTTCTGACCTTGCTGTCAGCAGGGATTAGGGAAGAACTCAGGAACAAAGCAGTGCTGCTTTCAGCTGTTTGGTTTTGTCTCATTTCATTATGGGGCGTGCTCTCCTTTAGGAAAAGTTCTTGACAGACGTGTGCCCTCTCTCCCTCCCCCCCAACAAAGCCTCGATCATTTTGTTAATTTCAGTGAGGAAATTAAAGTCCAGCCAAATCAGTTCAGAGAATCCGCAGAAGCAAATGGAAGGATTTATGAGGAACAGAGAAAATTGGAAGAAAGTTTTACTATTCATCTCGGTAAGTGTCAATACTTTGCATGCCAAACTCACTCCAACTTGTGAATTTTGGGGGTGTGAGAGGAGCAGGCTCCCTCCTATAGTAGTACTGTCCTCCCGTTGTTCATCGATTTGCTCGATCGGGCCCAGTCACGTCTCCATTGTGACACTTGTTACTGTGTTTGGCATATCGAATACATCATGGGTGGCTTGCCAGGCTTTGCCGTGTGGGCGAGATACTCTCATTTGCTCCCTCCCATACAGATAGAATAAAGCCAAGCATTTTCTATTTTGTTTGTTTGTTTGTTTGCTTGCTTTTTGGGTCACACCCGGTGATGCTCAGGGGTTACTCCTAGTTCTGCACTCAGGAATGACTCCTGGTGGTGCTCGGGGGACCCTCTGGGATGCTGGGGATCGAACCCAGGTTGGCCGCGTTCAAGCCCTACCTGCTGTGTCTTCGCTCCAGCCCAGCTTGCTCTATTTTCATTGCAAATCACCTCTTGGTCCAAGAAAACCCATGGTTTGTTGACTCCAATTTTTCACTTTCCACGTATATTGGTTTTATTTTTTTTTTTTTGGCAACTAGATTACATATTAATAGTTACAAAAATGGGAAGGCCAGAGGCCCATTTTTAATGCCTCATACCGTGGGCTGCTCCAGATTCTTGCCGTGGAGATTTGCGTCTGATCGCACTGATTTTTAACGGTTGTCTCAGTATCTTTGGGGGGACTTTCGCCCGCCCCACAGGAGCCCAGCTGAAGACCATGCATAATCTGAGACTGCTGAGAGCAGATATGCTGGATTTCTGTAAGCACAAAAGAAATCACCGGAGCGGGGTGAAGCTGCACCGGCTGCAGACCGCCCTGTCGCTTTATTCCACCTCGCTCTGTGGCCTGGTGTTGCTTGTGGACAACCGCATCAATTCCTACAGTGGAATTAAGAGAGGTGAGTGCACAGCATCCACGCAGGGCTCGTCAGATTGTGCCTTGCAGATAACAGTCCCTAAAGAAGGGAGTGAGGTTATTGCACCAAGTGAGTTGATGGACGTGGGAGCAACCATTATTGGTACTTCTGTAAACCAATCATAAAATTAAAAATCCAATTTCCCAGCTCTAGAATGGTATCCATGTTTGGTTTTTGTCTACATAAAAAAAATTTTGTTTTACATTTGAATTAATAGAAATAGAAAAAAAGGCGCATATGCTGCCCGAGCCCATGTGCTGCTTGCGCCCACTTGGCCAAGCACATGTGGTGCCCGAGCACGTGTCGCCCGCATCTCCCCTCTTGAGATGTGGACTTTCATGCTTTTCTGTTTAATGCTAGGATTTGTGTAGGGGCTCTCTCTGCCCTTGGAGAAGCCCGTGTTCTCTCTTGAGTATGTTACTCTCTCTCTCTCTCTCTCTCTTTCTCTCTCTCTCCTCTTTCTCTCTCTCTCTCCTCTTTCTCTCTCTCTCTCCCTCTCTCCCTCTCTCTCCCCCGCCCTGCACCTAAAAATCCTCCAAATAAAATTTGTTTAAAAAAAAAAAAGAAGAAATAGAAAAGGAAAAAAATATGTTTTATCCTAAGAAAGGGAATATTGATTTTCTGTTAGAAATGATTATTTTGTAGATACTGCTCAAATAAAGACAGGATTACAATAAGAAAAACTCTATGGATGTTTAAAAAAATAATATAATAAAATTCAACAGAGTACAAAGAAACACCAAATTAACCCAATATATTAAAAAGAAAAAAAAAAGAAGAAGAGGAGGAGAATTAGGAGAAAAGTGAATGGGTTTAAAGGGTCCAGAAGCCTACACAGCATCTCTCTCCACTTTCTTTTCATTTCTGGTTTTTTTTTTGTTTGGTTGTTTGTTTTTCTTCATTTTGGGTCACACCCGGAGATGCACAAGGGTTCCTCCTGGCTCTGCACTCAGGAATTACTCTTCGTGGTGCTCGGGGGACCATATGGGATGCTGGGAATCGAACCCGGGTCAGCCGTGTGCAAGGCAAATGCCCTCCCCGCTGTGCTATGGCCCCCAGCCCCTCCCCACTTTCTTTCAGTTCTTCTTCATCCTCTTGTGTGTGCAGAGAGCTTCAGGATTTGACGCTTTCTTACCATCCTCTCACATGATGAAGGGGTCCCTTTGTAGGATCTTTGTTTCAAATCACAACAGAAAGGATCATCCAGATCTAAGTGGGTTTTTCAATTTAGAAGTAGATCCTGGCTCATTGAATTTTAATTCATCCACTTGACCTTTCTTTCTTTTTTTTTTCCTTTAAATAGTCAAATTTTTCAAAATTTGGGACTGAAGTAGGGAGATAGCAAAGGGCATGAGTGCTCGCCTGTCCCCAGGTTCAACCCCAGGGGTGGCCTGGTCCCTCAGCAGGGCCTCGGTGACCCCAGATAGCACAGACTCACTGGACGGCCACATGGGGTCCTCAGGCCTGCACATGTGTCACCAGGAGTGGCCCTGGGGCTCCCTGGGCACTGCTTGGGCGTGTGTATACACGTATATATACATACGTGTGTGTGACACATAACTATCTTTATCCTTTATTTATTTATTTATTTATTGCTTTTTGGGTCACACCTGGCGATGCACAGGGGTTACTCCTGGCTCTGCACTCAGGAATTACCCCTGGCGGTACTCAGGGGACCATATGGGATGCTGGAAATTGAACCCGGGTCAGCCACGTGAGAGGCAAATGCCCTCCCCGCTGTGCTATTGCTCCAGCCCCATCTTTATCCTTTACTAAAGGATAAGGTGAAACCCTAACTTCTCTACTAGGGCTACCATTGTTGTTTTTACACGTGTGATTTTTTTTTTTTAGTGTTTAAATATGAAATAGATTGAAGTGCTTCTGAAGATGCTTGAATAGAACTTAGTTCCTATCCAATGTAAGCTTTCATATAGACCTTTTTTGGTCGGGTTCTTTTTGGTTTTATTTCATGGTTTCTGCACCTCAGAAGGCAGGACTGGGGCTCTTCCCAGCTTAGTACTTGGGGTAACTCCTGGCTGTGTTGGTTTGGTGGGGAGGGCTGGAGTGGGGCATGAGGTGCCCGGGTTCTAAACCAGGGTTTTTGCCTGAAAACACTCACTCTGGTCCTTTGGGCTGTCTCCACGGCCTCCCTTCTTTCTTATAGCTTTGGGGATTGCATTATGAAGATATAATTCAGCGAAGGCTTGGAATTCATTTTTTTTTCTTTTTTTGGGGGGGGTCACACCCAGCAATGCACAGGGGTCACTTCTGGCTCTGCACTCAGGAATTACCCCTGGCAGTGCTCAGGGGACCATATGGGATGCTGGGAATCGAACCCGGGTCGGCCGCGTACAAGGCAAACGCCCTACCCGCTGTGCTATAGTTCCAGCCCCTGGAATTCATTTGTAAATGTCTTCCTTGACTTTTACTTTGGGAGGAGGTAGGGAGAGTATACACCCAGCAGTGCTCAGGGCTTACTCCTATCTCTGTGTTCAGGGATTGCTCATGGTGGTACTCGGGGGACCGGAAGGGGTGTGAGGGATTAAACCCCGGTCAGCTGCGTGCCTTACGCGCTGTACGATTGCTCCAACTCCTTTCTCTTATTATTTTTTAAAAATTCTTTTGACTGATAGGTTCAGTTCCTGTAAAATCGCTGTGCCCTAGCTCTGTAAGACTAAAAGGGCACATCTGAGAAATCAGTGAGGGAATCCTTGATTGTTTCTGCTAGAGTTTATTGCTTTAAGTACGTAATTAAGAGCTTACCTTTAATTTTTTTTTGTAGATAACTATTTAGAGTTAATTATGTATACTGATATAAAAGGGAATATGCCCTGCCACAGAGGCAGGGTGGGATGGGGGATATGGGGGGTGGGAGGGAAAAAGAGCTTACCTTTAGAGATTTGTGTGTGTTTGGATTCTCGTAGATTTCGCCACCATTTGCCAGGAGTGCACAGACTTCCACTTTCCCCGGATCGGCGAGCAGCTGGAGGTGGTCCAGCAGGTGGTTCTTTATGCAAGAACACAGCGCAGGAGCAAGTTGAAAGACTCACACGGTCAGCACAAGCCCCGAGCTTTGTGTTTTTTTGTATTTTCTTTTTTGTTTTTTTTTTCTCTTTTTGGGTCACACCTGGCGATGCACAGGGGTTCCTTCTGGCTCTGCACTCAGGAATGACTCCTGGCGGTGCTTGGGGCACTGTATGGGATGCTGGGAATCGAACCCGGGTCAGCTGCATGCAAGGCAAATGCCCTCCACACTGTACTAGTACTCTGGCCCTCAGCCCTGAGTTTTAAAATGTTCACTTTCAGTCTGTCTTGTCCTAACGTGCTCTCTTAGGGTATGAGTCATCATTACAGTGAAGGAATTTGTATTGGAAAGGTAAAATCCCTGCTTTTTTTTTTTTTTTTGCATGATTTTATGCTAGAACCTTGTATTATTTTATGCTACAAAATTTTTTTTTCTTTTTTGGGTCACAACTGGCGATGCACAGGGGTTCCTCCTGGCTCTGCACTCAGGAATTACCCCTGGTGGTGCTCAGGGGACCATAAGAGATGCTGGGAATCGAACCCAGGTTGGCTGCGTGCAAGGCAAACGCCCTACCTGCTGTGCTATTGCTCCAGCCCCAACAAAATTTTGGGAAATTTCAGTTCAGTAAATGGACACTCAGTGCAAAGATGTTTTCTTTCTTTTTTTTTTCTATCCAGTTTCGATATTTCCAAGGCAAATAGGATTATTACTCCTAGGAGCCAGTGATAGCACTGAGTATATACCTTGTTAATGTTCCTTCTTTGATCTACTTAAATAGCATTGTTGGGATCGGGAGTTCCCTAGCCCTGGGAGGCGCGGAAAGACCAGATAGACACAATTCCTGCAGGAGTACAAACGGGGTTTATTTAGACCAGCATGATGGGGCTCCACAGCATACCCCAGAGTGGGCAGTGGCTGAGAGCCCCGAGCTTCTTCAAAGGGGACCTTATATAGGCCTTCATCAACTGTTACAACAAAGCCCGTGCATTTCATAGCCAATAGATGTGTAACAAGATATACTTTCTTGACCAATCCATTTAAAAGTACCTCACTCCTTAGCCTATAGATTCAAAGATCAGCCTTTACGTACATCGATTGTCAGCACAAGCAAAGTCATAGCCGAAATCAGATCGGCTTTTCTTTTGGTGGCTCTTTCAGACACTGCTCTATCCTTGAGCAGTTGCCCTTTTTTTAAACGTTTTCTGTGTATCCACAGTGTAATGCTTTCTAGTTGGTTAAGGCATTTCGTGGAGGGTGTCCCCCAGGGCGTTGGGGGCCACTGCTGATAATTGTTGGCCTGGCAACACCACCCCCAGTGGTGCTGTGAGTGGGGGTATATTCAGCTGGGGGATGGAACTCAGGGCCTCAGGCACTCACGGAATAAACTGCAGCTGTTTCTCTGGAGCGATAGCACAGCGGTAGGGCGTTTGCCTTGCACACAGCCAACATGACCGACCTGAGTTCGATTCCTCCGCCCCTCTCGGAGAGCCCGGCAAGCTACCGAGAGTATCTCGCCCACACGGCAGAGCCTGGCAAGCTCCCCGTGACGTATTCGATATGCCAAACACAGTAACAACAAAGACTCCAATGGAGACGTTTCTGGGCCCGCTCGAGCAAATCGATGAACAACAGGGTGACAGTGACAGTGTTTCTAACTATGTCGCGGCCCCGCCAGGGAGTACAAGCAGAAGTGGGTATCGGAACCAGCTTGCCGAGGAAGCACTGACGCCCTAGCCCCGCTTTCAGCCCCCGCTCTGGGGAGATTCCCTGACGTTAGCCCTCCTGGGAAACGTGAAGGTTCCTCGCCTCCATTCTGAGGTTTCTCACAACATGAAAAGAGATTAAGCGAAGACACTGGTCAAAGAGAAAAAGCCCTGATTCGAAGCCTAATGTAAATCTGTTAGTCCATTGAAAAAAGTGAGCTTTCTTTAGAAAAGAAATTGGAACTCTTAAGTTTGCTGTATACAGTGTGGGTTTTTGTTTGTTTGTTTGTTTCAGAAATTTTATTCTATGACAGGCCAAAAAAGAAGTGCTTATCAGTGCTTACTCAGTGTTTCATGATTTCTTTGTTTTATTTTGTTTTGTGGGGGAGGCGGTTGGGAACCATTTGACCGTGCTCAGAGCCACCTTGGGCTCTGTGTCAAGGGGCACTCCTGGGGATGTTCTTTGCAGTGCTGGGATTTGAACCTGTTTCACAGCTATACATGCTCCTAAATTGTGTTGGGTTTTTGTTTGTTTGTTTGTTTTTAGGTTGTTTTTATTTTTTTTTTTTTTGACTTTTTGGGTCACACCCGGTGATGCTCAGGGGTTACTCCTAGCTCTGCACTCAGGAATTACTCCTGGCGGTGCTTGGGGACCCTATGGAAGCCAGGGATCGCCCTACCTGCTGTGCCCCTCCTCCTCCTCTGGCCCCAAGCACCTTAAGCTTTGTACTGGCTCTCTCACCCAACTGCATGATTTCTTTCCAAACAAAACAAAACAAAAACAAAAACAAAAAAAAAAACTTGATGTCTTGCCCAGGAAACAAATTATGGCAATTTTCAGAGTTGTGGTTAGTCAATCCTTCTGCTCTGGTATTATGGATTTCTTGTTTGTTTGTTTGTTGTGTTCTGGGGCGTCCCTGCTCTGTGCTGGCAAGAGGATGGGGGACGAGGTGCCCCCCACAAGCCTTGCTGCCGGACTTGGAGAACCACGTGGTGCTGACCTTTGAGCCAGGGTCAGCCATGTACACAACAAGCACCCGAACCCCTGCACTGTCTCTCAGCCTCCTTTGCTTGTTTGGTAATGGGAAAAGCCACTCCCGTATTTCTGGGTCCAAAGTGTTTTGAAGTAAGCAAAGATCTGTTACATATGTGATATATATGATAAGGGCAGATGTAATATCAAGAAATCAGTATTGGAAAGAGGAGAGAGCTCAAGGCAGGGGTGGAGAGGGGGGAGCCTTGCATGCATGAACCCTTGAGTTCTGTTCCCAGCACCAACAATTTCTACCCGCCCCCCAATCCTCTCTTAGTCCCCCACACTTCCTGCCCCCAGCACCACCAGGATGGTCCTGATGGCCCCATTGCTGGGCCTGGGTACCAGATTGTCAGGCCCACACCGCCAGTTAGAGCATTGCCCAGAGGGACCCTCAGGGACCCCAGCCAACCCCCCCTGGGAATACAAACCCCTCCTCCCCCACAAACAAAATGCAAAGAAACCGTTGCAGAAGTTATAGCCTCCCAAATGACCTCTGGAAAAATGGATTTTTTTCTTCCCCCGCCTCATTTCAAGCCAGCAACGATATGATTAGAAACGTTTTAATATTCTCGGGAGTGACCAGAAGCACGAAGATTGAGCTCTTGACAGGTGGGGGAGAAGGAGGAGGATTCTAAGTATATGCACAAAGAACTCGAAAGTGTGGAGTAAAGGACAGGAAGTTTTTTAACCGCATACGGATAAGGCAGCGCATGGTATTATTTTGTCCTTGTCAAGCAACTATTTTGTGGTTTAAGTGAGTCAGTGAAACAAGTATGTTTATAGAAGACAGCTTTCTTAAAGGAGCCCGCATGTTGTTACGGAAGAGGAGGTTTGTGGAAATGCCATGGCCTTTCCTTTTTTCTGTGTGTCCACATATTTTCTTGGTGTGTCTGCATCCGGATGTACAAGTGCCTCACCAGAGAGATGCCAGCCAGCCCATTGTCCTTACGGCCAGCCCTTAGAATACCAGCATCTTTACGGTTCTAGAGTACATAGCCCCCCCCCCCCCAAAAATAGCCCCCAAACAGTGTAGTTTGTGCTTTTTTTTTTTTTCTTTTTGGGTCGCACCCGGCAATGCCTAGGGGTTCCTCCTGACTCTGCACTCAGGAATTACTCCTGGCGGTTCTCAGGGGACCCTGTGGGATGCTGGGAATCGAATCCAGGTTGGCTACATGCAAGGCAAACACCCTACATGCTGTGCTCTTGCTCCAACCCCAGTTTGTGCATTTTATATACACATTTTTTTAAAAATGGCCATTTTGTTTGTATGATGAGATGTGACCATCAAAACATCAAAGGACGGCCACTTACATCATTGGGATTGTTGTTCAAACCCATCTGAACAAAATCAGACTCGTTCTTGTTTTGGTCTCTGTGCCATGGTCAGACATTTTTCTGGAAGCCTGTGAGTTCCGTGGCTTGTATCAGAAACTCATATGTCATGTCACATACGAACTGTGGCATCATAGACCCTTACTGGTCTGTGCCTCTCTCCTATGGCCTTTTCATATTTTGGCATGTATGTGTTTACAGGATACATTAATGTATATCAGTTTATCAGAGTAACGACCAGGTAAATATGCTGTTTCCTTTTAAAAAATTTTTTTAATTGAATCACAATGAGAGACAGTTATAAAGTTGTTTTTAACTTATAACAACTTTATAAAGTTCTTCATGATTGCGTTTCAGTCATACAGTGTTCCAACACCAGTCCCTTCACCAGTACACATTTCCCACCACCTGTGTCCCCAGTTTCCCTCACACCTTCTGCTATTTCCTTTTAATTCAGAATTGTTTTGAAGTTATAATATTGTTCTAGTTTTTCCAGCTATTCCTTTAAAGTTCTGACTTTTCCAGTGACTTTCTGAGGCTGAAGGCCATTCCAGGTAGTTGATTATATACTGTCACTGTCACTGTCCTCCCATTGTTCTTCGATTTGCTCGAGTGGGCCCAGTAATGTCTCCATTGTGACAATTGTTACTGTGTTTGGCATATGGAATATGTCACAGGGAGCTTGCCAGGCTTTGCCGTGTGGGCGAGATACTCTCGGTAGCTTGCCGGGCTCTCCAAGAGGGGTGGAGGAATCGAACTCAGGTCGACCATGCTGGCCACTTGCAAGGCAAACGCCCTACCCTCTGCGCTATAGCTCCAGCCCTGATTATATACAATAAATAATATTATGTTTATGACTGTTATGTGCAATGAACAAATATACAACTTCTTAATGATAGCCAGTTTTAATGTTAATACTTAACATTTTTTAGTTCTGATAGAATTCTTACAAAATTCAGATGTGTCTTCTATTTTTAAATATGTATTGTTATATAAAATAATTTGTGTTCAAAGCTCGGGAGCAGTGCAGTAGCTAGGGCACTTGCCTAGAACACAGCCGACCTGGGTTCTGGGCACCCTCCGAGTCCAGCAGGAATGAATGATTGAGTGATCCCTGAGCACAGAGCCAGGAGTAAGCCCTGACCACCCAGGCATGGCCCCAAAAACAAACAGTAATTTATTCCATATTCACGTATATGTTTGGCCAATCATGACGTGTCATATTATGCCCATGTTGCTTCTCTTAAGTAGCACGTATCTTCTAGAAGAAAAAAACTATTGAATAAAGCAAAGACCCATGTCTGTTTGAGATAAATTTATGTTACATCACAAAAGATTAGAAATTCTCAAGTGATTCCTGGTGCTGTTCACCATTTGTCTGTCATCCTGAACGTGTTATATCAACAACAGTGACTCAGATACTAAAAACAAAGATGACCACACCACAGCTCTTGAATGAAGGTATTTTATGAGGAATTAATGTAGTGCCCCGAACCTTGTGGATAGAATACACTCTTGGCAAGGCTGATGAGGTATGAAGACTGCAGGATCTAGAATCTGAGTAGAGTATGTGCAATCAAGATCTGGTTCCACCACTCATCTGCCTGGCCGTGGCTGAGTCATTTGACCTGTCTAACCCTCTGTTTCCTCATCACATCTCATGTGTATTATTACTCACCTCTGGAGGGGCTGGAGCGATAGTACAGCAGGAAGGGTGTTTGCCTTGCATGCAGCCGACCTGGGTTCAATCCCCAGCATTCCATGTGGTCCCCCGTGCACTTCCAGGAGTAATTCCTGAGTGCAGAGTCAGGAGTAACCTGAGCATTGCTGGGTGTGACCCCTCCCCCTTAAAAAAAAAAAGGAAGAATAATACTCACCTCATAAGGTGTTATGGTCCTAAGCTTTTGTAGGAATTGACGAGATCAGCCACTAACGCATGTACGAGAATGTCCAGCGTTGTAATTGTTGGGGGCTTAGTAGTAGTCGCAATCTGTTTTCACTTGTCATCATGTTCTTTCTCCTTGCGTTATCTTATTAATAGATTCTGGAAGCCGGAACGGAGGCAATGACGATAAGACTAAAAATGCCGAGAGAAACTATTTAAACATTCTACCTGGTAAGCATTATTTTATTTAGAGCTGTGGTTTTTCTTATAATTACGTAGACGGGATGCGGCTTTGAAACGTGAGTTCTTTTTTGAGGGGGACACGGGAAGAATCCCAAGCGATGCTCCAGAGACCTAAAGGCCCCACCATGATTCTTGGCTAACAGGGCCAGCCACTAACGCTAAGGCTAAAGGATGTACTGCATGGGGCCGGAGCAATAATCCAGGGGGGTGGGCATTTGCCGTGCTCAGAGCCAACTTGGGTTCTATTCCCAGCACCCCATATGCTCCCCCTAAGCACTTCCGGGCGTGATTCCTGAATACAGAGGAAGGAGTAAGGCCATGAACACTGTTGGGTGTGGACCCAAAACAAGAAACAGCAAGAACAATCATGTGATACGTTTGGATCCTATGGCCCCAGGGGTACCCAGGTCACTCTGGTAGTGATGGAGCTCTCCAGAGCTGCACCCAGTTATGCTCGAGGGACTATATGGGGCTCAACATAGATCCCAGGGCCTGGAGAGATAGGTAGGGTGTTTGCCTTGCATGCATCCGACCCAGGTTCAATTCCCAGCATCCCGTATGATCCCCGAGCAGAGCCAGGACTAACCCCTGTGCATCACCGGGTGTGACCCAAAAAATTAAAAAATTAAAAAAGTAAGGAGTGGAGACATAAGTTTGACTCTGAAATGGAACGAAGCATTCAGAGAGACCTAAATGGTTGAATTTGTCGAAAGAACTGGGGTCATCGGATTTTGAATCTCTCTTGCTTTCTGTTCCTTAAATTTCCTTTCTTGATCCTGAACCTGTTGCTTCTCTGCTGGAAATTCAGTCTCTTGGACCCGACCCCTCCCAGATTGAATTCCTCCCATGATACACTTAGGAGTGGTATGATAGGGCCTAAAGGAAGAGAAGGCTCCTGTGTTCCCACGTGGAAATTCTGTAAAACGGATGGATGGCTTTTCAGTTTCATAAATAACCAGGGTTGTTTTCTAACACTTCCTCCCCGCCACGTTCCTCATGTAGCCAGCCCCAACTCCCCTGGAGGAAATCACATTCTCATTTCTAGCCTCTCTCGTCAGGCTGAGTCACCGAGCGTGGGGTCATCAGCTTCTCCCTGGCCCGCCCTCCACCTTCCGACCTCAGTGGGGATTGTCGGAGGTGGGCTCTCATCACCACACACTGTCACCTCTGTCTGTAGACCCGGAAACTCTCCTCTCCCTCGGAAAATACCCTCACGGAATCAGGATTGATGGTTTCTCCTCAGAGATCATAATTCACATCATCCTCATTTCGTGGCTTTCTTAAAATAAAGCCCATCCTACTCACTCCCAAGGTGTGGACATCTGATTTTCTTAAATTTCACTCCTTATTGCTGTATTTGTTTCCTTCCGTTCTCTTTTCTAGGGGAAAGTGCTGTCCGCAGTATCTCATTATTACCACCAAATCAGGCGGCTGTCATAGGTCTGCATGGAGAAAGGAATAACAGTTAGGTGTGCCAATAGAATCTGAAATGATTCCTCCTTCACTGGTCAGAGATTTATAGGAGATGAAAGAAACCCAAACCACAAATTCTTTTCAGTTACGAAGGGGAAAAAAATGTGTTTATATGTAGATTGATCACTAAGTAATCATTTACATACATAGTGTCTACCATCTGATTTGCACCCTAACTTTATGTGCAAGGTAGTCAGGCATTGTTTTTTTTTTTTTTTATTTTATGCCAGAAGTATTAGTGGCCCTATAGGCTGAGTTTAATTTGCTCAAAAATCACTCGGCCAATTAGCACTAAAGAGCAGATCATCTAAACACCCAATCTGTCCTTTATCTGCTGCATCATATTATCTCGGTCAGTACTGCCAGCTCACGATCCCCATTTTATTTATGAGCAAAATGAGTACAAGAGGTAAGGTATCTGGGGTCAAACTAAACAGCGCCAGTTGAGGGATTAGGAGGCACCTGATGGGTCACTGAATCAGCCCAGTTCATTACTTCCTGGACAATAGCCCGTTTTTAATGCAGTGGCCCAAGTGTCAACAGGGCACTAGAGGACAGTCCAGCCCACTGAGCCCAGAAGGGGATTGTCTCATGCCTCTCAAGCCTCCGGATAAGCAAGTCTGTGTCTGTCCTGGCCTTCCAGGGAAGTCATAACTACCATTCCTCACTAGGCAGTTTTTCCTTTGCATTTCCTGTTTGGTTTATTTGGGTATTTATTTATTGATTGATTTACTGTCTTTTTCTAAATTTCTTTTCTTCCATATCTAATTCTTTTGACCTTAAAGACTAACGGCTGGAGCTGGAACGATAGCACAGCGGGTAGAGCTTTTGCCTTGCACGTGGCCGACCCAGGTTTGATTCCCAGCATCCCATGTGGTCCCCCGAGCACCGCCAGGAGTAATTCCTGAGTGCAGAGCCAGGAGTAAGCCCTGTGCATCGCCAGGTGTGGCCCAAAAAGAAAAAAAGAAAAAAGATTAATGACCATTGCCTGGGGTTCTCAGAGAGAACTATGACACAGCTTCTTCACATTGGGAACTAGAAATAGTTTTCCACAAAACCCAACCATAGAAGATTGGTTCAGTTTTACGATATGTTTACAAGTAAATATTAAGTGGTACCTGAAGGGGCCAGAACGATAGCACAGTGGGTAGGGCATTTGCCTTGCATGTCGCCGACCCAAGTTTGATCCCCTGCATCCTGTCTGGTTCCCTGAGCATTGCCAGGAGTAGTTCCTGAGTGCAGAGCCAGGAGTAACCCCTGAGTATCACTGGATATGGCCCAAAAAGATTAAAAAAAAAAAAGCGATAGCACAGTGAGTAGGGCGTTTGCCTTGCATGTGGCTGACCCAGGCTCGATTCATCTGTCCCTCTCGGAGAGCCTGGCAAGCCACCAAGAGTATCCTGCCCGCACAGCAGAGCCTGGGAAGCTCCCCATGATGTATTCTATATGCCAAAAACAGTAACAACAAGTCTCACAATGGAGACGTTACTGGTGCCCACTCGAGCAAATCAATGAACGGGAGGATGAACAACAGTACTATAGACAGTGCAGTGCTCTTTTAAAAGGATGACTTCAGGGGGGCAAAGCGATACTACAGTGAGTAGGGCGTTTGCCTTACATGAGACCGACCTGGGTTCGACCCCCAGCACCCCCATATGGTCCTATGGACACCTCAGGAGTGACGCCTGAGTGCAGAGCCAGGGATAACCCCTGAGCATCACTGGGTGTGGCCCCAAACAAAAAAAGTGATGACTTCAAAGGAAGGATAAGAACATTGTTAGTGGAGGGACTAGGGTTTGAAGAGCAAGTCCTAGAAAAGCAAAGTCTTTGTAGGAAGAATTGAGTACTGCGTATCTGTTTAAATAAAAACATTGCATTTTACATTATCAGGGGCTGGAGCGATAGCACAGCGGTAGGGCGTTTGCCCTGCACGCAGCCAACATGGCCGACCCGAGTTCGATTCCTCCGCCCCTCTCGGAGAGCCCGGCAAGCTACCGAGAGTATTCGATATGCCAGACACAGTTAACAACAAAGTCTCCAATGGAGACGTTACTGGGCCCGCTCGAGCAAATCGACAATCAACAGGAGGGCCTTTAGTTACTTTACTTACATTATCAGAAAGTGCAGAGAATAATAGCTGATAAGATTCTTCACGGCTGTCATGACTCTATAGAAAATGAAATGATTCTACAGAGCAGTGTTCCGGTCTGACAAACACTGTCCCAGCATTTGGTCTAAAACAAAATATTTATTGAGACCCTTCTAAGAACTTGGGCTGGAGCGATAGCACAGTGGTAGGGCATTCGCCTTACAAGCAGCCAACATGGCCGACCCGAGTTCGATTCCTCCGCCCCTCTCGGAGAGCCCGGCAAGCTACCGAGAGTATTCGATATGCCAGACACAGTAACAACAAAGTCTCCAATGGAGACGTTACTGGGCCCGCTCGAGCAAATCGACGATCAACAGGAGGGCCTTTACTTTTTACTCTAAGAACTTGGTACCGTTCATTGTGCTAGAAATAAAACATTCAATAAGATGGACAGAAACGCGGTAGTTTCTCTGTAGTCATGGAGTGCAAACCTTATCTCTGTAAACAAAACTAAGTTTACCTTTGAAAAAATAAGTCACAACAGTTAGAGGAAATAAACCAGGGGAGAGGGTGCTCTGTACTAGGCAGGACCATCCACGAAGACCACTGGGGGAAGGTCTCAGGGCCTGAGTCTGTGGGATGATTGATGGGAGGTGTCGACCTGGCCTGAATCTTAGGATGCAGTTTCTCACACAGCCATGAACAGGGAAGGAGCACTGCATGTTTGGAGAAATGAGCAATACCCGTGTGGCCGGAGTGTGAAGAGAGCAAGGAAGCAAGATGACATGAGACAGGGAGGAAGGGTCCCGACTGCAGGGGTTCTTGGAAAGCTTAGTAGCAGACCTGCATCTCCCTCCTTTTTTTTTTTCCTCTTTTTTGGGTCACACCCGGCACTGCACAGGGGCTCCTCCTGGCTCTGCACTCAGGAAATACTCCTGGCGGTGCTTGGGGGACCCTATGGGATGCTGGGAATCGAAGCCGGGTTGGCCGCTTGCAAGGCAAACACCCTCCCCGCTGTACTATCGCTCTAGCCCCTGCATCTCCCTCCTAAGTAGCGTTGAGTCTGATGATTAAGTTAGGGAGCAAAATGGTATGATTCATTTTTGATTTTGACCATATCTGGTAGTGCTCAGGGCTTATTCCTGGCTCTGCACTCAGGGATCACTTCTGATGGGGCTCTGGGGACCACACAGGGTGACAGGATTGAATCCCGTTCCTGTCAAACACCCACTGTAAACACCCTGCATATTGTACTATTGCTTCAGCCCTATGATTCTCACTTCATTTAAACACCAGAGTTGTTCGTAATGGTTTATTATAAGTATTCAGTATCCCAGCACCAATCCCAACACCTCTGTCACCTTCCCTCCACCATTGTCTCCATTTTCCCAACCATCCCACACAGCACGCCTACTGTACTTTATTTTATATTGTTACCCCTAACTGGAGCGATAGCACAGCGGGTAGGGCGTTTGCCTTGCACGCGGCCAACCCAGGTTCGATTCCTCTGCCCCTCACAGAGAGCCCGGCAAGCTAACGAGAGTATCTCGTCCTCACAGCAAAGCCTGGCAAGCTACCCGTGACGTATTTGATATGCCAAATACAGTAACAAGTGTCACAAGGGGGACGTTACTGGGCCCGCTCGAACAAATTGATGAACATCGGGAGGATAGTGACAGTGACAGTGACCCCTAACTGGCTAATGGAATGATAGTTCTTTTTTTGGGGGGGAGGGGGTCACACTCAGCAATGCATAGGTGTTACTCCTGGCTCTGCACTCAGGAATTACTCCTGGCGGTGCTCCGGGGACCATATAGGATGCTGAGAATCGAACCCGGGTCAACCTCATGTGCAAAGCAAATGCCCTCCCCGTTGTGCTATCGCTCCAGCTCCTCCCCCCACCACTGTCACTCTTAATTGCTTCCAGGGGGAGCTTGTCTGGACAGTCTTTTATGGAGCCCGTGGATGAAGGCGATTATTGTGTTTGGTATTTATTATTCCCAGGAGAATTTTACATCACGCGGCATTCGAATCTCTCAGAAATCCATGTCGCATTTCACCTTTGCGTGGACGACAATGTGAAATCGGGGAACATCACCGCTCGTGATCCAGCCATCATGGGACTCCGTAATATTCTCAAGACGTGCTGCAGCCACGACATCACCACAATAAGCATTCCGCTGCTGCTGGTGCACGAGATGTCAGAGGTGAGCAGCCGGACGGCGCTGCCAGGCCGGCTCGAGAGCCAGGACAGAGGTTCAGGCCTTTACTCGGGGTGAACTGCACCCGCAGATTCAGGCCCTGAGCACAGGAATGAAGAGGAAGGGAGGGAGGGAGAGAGGAAGGGAGCAAGGGAGGGAGGAAGGGAGGGGGAGAGGAAAGAAGGGAGGGAGGGAGGGAGGAAGGGAGGGGGAGAGGAAAGAAGGGAGGGAGGGAGGGAGGGAGGGAGGGAGGAAGAAGAGGAGAAGGAGAGAGTAAGCAAGGAAGGAAGCAAGGAAGGAGGGTGGAAAGGAGGGAGATAGGAAAGGAGGAAGTATGCAAGGAAGGAAGCAAGGAACGAGAGAGGGAAGGAGGAAATGAAGGAGGGAGAGAGGAAAGCAGGAAGGGAGGAAGGAAGGAAGAAAGCAATGAAGGGAGGCAGGAAGGAGGGAGGAAAGGAGGGAGAGAGGAAAGGAGGGAGGGAGGAAGGAAGGAAGGAAGGAAGGAAGGAAGGAAGGAAGGTAGGAAGGAAAGGAGGGAAGGGAAGGAGGGAAGGAAGGAGGAAGGAAAAGAGGGAGAGAGGAAAAAGGGAGGTAGGGAGGAAGCAAGTAAGCAAGGAGAGAGAAAGTGAACGAGGGAGGGAGGGAGGATGGGAAGGAGGGAGCGAGGGCCGTACCTCTATAAATATATTAATCCTATTTTGAAAAGCTTACTGCTTTTACTAATGGCCCTTGGTATCTCCTCTCGAATTCATAGAGTTGAATAGCACAGTTCAAAGCAATGAATAGTCCTTAAGTGTCTGTCTATGCTCAGGATTGTGTGAATTTTTCGTACAGCAGGTGAAACTCGAAAACCAAAATTACCCTTAGCTCCAACTAAGACATAGGCTCTTACTTTGAAAAATTCTTTTCCTCCGTTTTTTTTTTTTTTTCTGAAGGAACATGAAAGTTGCCTGCATATCTGCTATGGTGCATGTGGGATTCACTGTTGGTGCGTGTAATTTTTGTGTTGGTTTTGCTGGCATTCTCTGAGCGTGCATTTATGGGCAGTGGGAAGAGGTGACAGGAGAATGGAAGAAACCATCCTCCGTGGAACAGCGTTCTCACAGACGCCAGGGATACAGTTACTGACCTCTCGAATCAAAACGTGGCACGATCATACACCACTGTTGGCCTTCTTCCCTCAGCTACCAAAAAAGAAAAAAAAAAAAAGAAAGAAAAGTGGTCAGAGGGTATAATGCAAAGATGATTTTTTTTTCTTTTTGGGTCACACCCAGCAATGCTGAGGGGTTGCTCCTGGCTCTGCACTCAGGAGTTACTCCTGGCGGTGCTCGGGAGACCACATGGGATACTGGGAATCAACCCGGGTTGGCCGTGTGGAAGGCAAACGCTCTACCCACAGTGCTGTCGCTCCAGTCCCAACGCCAAGATGATAAAACTCCAAGTAGTTCGGAGGAACAGAGAGCCCTTGGAGTGAATGGCGCTGCCAGCTTGTGCCCGCCGGAATGGGCAGTGGTCAGCCTAGCGACAAAGGACCCACATCACCGTGTTGACCCCGGCTTGCCGTGAGGCAGCATTTTCCGGAAGCAAACAAAGTGGCTGATCAGCAAGGGCTGATTGGGAAGGTCAGGAAGAAAGTTTGGTCTTAATTCTAAATGCTATTGGCCAAAGTAAAAGATGAGAACAAATGCACTGGAAAATATATTGTTTGGGGCAGCAGAGATAGTCCAGGTGTAAGGCATTTTCTTAGCATGTGGCCAACCCTTATTTGGTCTTCAGACCGTATATGGCCCCTTGAACACTGCCATGAGTGATTCCTGAACACAGGAGTAAGCCCTGAGCACTGCCAGGTGAGCGCAAGGCCCCCCGGCCCCCACGCCCCCTAAAAAAATGTATGTTTCCTTTTTAGATTAAGTCCCCACTTCATCTCATTGCATTGTGAAACCTTGTTTTCCATGCAATATCCTATATAAACAGGTGCAAGAGTCAGCTCCGTGTAAAATAAGATAGTTTTCTTCAAATTCGTCTGTAAGTTCACACTTTTTTTTTATGAGGAGAATTGTGGTTCATCACCCAAAGGCTGCATTGGACACACTGGTTTCTCATTCTGAAACTTTGTTCTTGGGTCACACCCGGCGATGCACAGGGGTTACTCCTGGCTCTGCACTCAGGAATTACTCCCAGAGGTGCTTGGGGGACCCTATGGGATGCTGGGAATCGAACCCTTTTCAGGAGCCTGCAAGGCAAACGCCCTCCCCGCCGTGCTCCCTGAAGACCAAAAGTGTACAAGCAATTAATGTTTAAACACCTCTGCATTTCCACCTGCCCTGCTCCAAAGAATCAGATTGGTCAAAAAAGGACCATAAACTAACTTTCTTTCTTTCTTTCTTTCTTTCTTTCTTTCTTTCTTTCTTTCTTTCTTTCTTTTATTGAATCACCGTAAGATACAGTTAGAAAGCTTTCATGTCTGAGTTTCAGTCATACAGTGATCAATACCCATCCCTCCTCCACCAGTGCAGATTTTTCACCACCAATGTTCCCAGGCCCTCGTTTTCTCATTCTATGAACCCGCAGCTTCCGTTCTACTTCTGACGGTACCAAGAGAGATTGACAAACGCTATTCCTTTCTTTGCCCCTGCGGCTTCCTAGCGTTTTCATCCCATCAGGAAGTTTTAGCCTCCATTAAGTTATCCTCACTCTCTACTCCCATCTATAAAAGGGTCCCGGGGAGTAACAAAGAAAGATCAGGATGAATGCCAACCGCCCGCAGGGAAACATCCGAACCTTCCTGCAGCCGGACTCCTGGTTAACCAGTTTATAAAAATGGGTGCATGTAGGTGGGGGAGCAACCTCAAAAACAGTGTTTTCCAAAAGTCACCAAGTTCAGATTTACTTCCAGACATCTGCTCCTACCAGCGCTGCCCTCTCCCACAGATGCTACCGAGGTTACGTGTTTTAAATCCGGACAGCCAGCTGCAGGACATTAAGTCTGTGTCCCAAGTGTCCATTTTAACTCGCCAAAGTACATGGGGCCCGTGGCCCTTCCCGTCCCGTCTTATTTCACTAGCCATTCGGGTCAAGAGGGTTATTCCATGAACTCAGACCACATGACACAGGAAACGGAGACCACGTTTCTTTTCGCCCTTTCTCACCGGGGTTCCAGAGGAAGTTTCCAGTGGCTTCACCCGCCAACAAACAGAACCGACGTCTCAGCCCAGTGCGCGAGGTCCCCTCTGGCAGACAGACAAAAAAGTGCCAGAGAAAAGTGCCATTTGAAAATAAAAAGAGGGGCCAGAGAGATACTCTGGCGGGGAGGGCGTTTGCCTTGCATGCAGCTGACCCAGGTACAATCCCCAACATCCCATATGGTCCCCCAAGCACCACCTGAGTGCAGAGCCAGGAGTCACCCCTGGACACTGCCGGGTATGGCTCTAAAACTGAAAAACTGAAAGGGAAGTGGAAAGGGAGAATTGTCTGCCCCAAGAAAAAAGCAGTGCTGGTGCTAGCGGTTGTTGTGTATACAGATCTTTATGCCCTGAACCCTTGACCTAAAGGAGTGGGGGAAACTGCTAAGTCAGCAGTCACAGTAAGTGCCTGACCTTTCATAACCACTAGTAACTGGCTGGATAATTGGGGATTTAGGGATTCTCATGTGATTGTGATTGGTGCCAGTTTTTTTTATTAGCATCACTTAATCACTTAACTTCCCGTTAGTCGTCGATTTGCTCGAGCGGGCGCCAGTAACGTCTCCATTTGTCCCTGTCGCGTGCTAGTGTAGCCCAATGGCATCTGTTCGCTCCGGGAACATGAAGGGCCTCAAACCGATCGTTTATGATCTTGACGAAGAAGTCTGACCATATTATTATTAGCATATGTATCAATTAATAGCACAGATTTACAAAAGGCTGAACCCCCTTTAACCAGTACCCCAGTTAAGAGACACAAACCATTCTTTTTTTTCCTTTTTTTGCTTTTTGCGTCATGCCCAGCAATGCTCAGGGTTTACTCCTGTCTCTGCACTCAGGAATTACTCCTGGCGGTGCTCGGGGAACCATATGGGATGCTGGGGATTGAACTCGGGTCGGCCGCATGCAAGGCAAACACCCTCCGTGCTGGACTATTACTCCGGCCCCACGAGACACGAACTATTCTCCTGCTCTGTTTCAGCCACTAAAACCACGCACCGTCTGCCAAGGTGACCAGGGTTTCCACTCTAAAAGGAAAAGGTTCCTTAGGATTATTTTTGTGATTTGCGTTGCTTGGAATCTGACAGGGACCAACTCAGCGTGTCTGTGGAATTTACCCATGTCACTGGTTGTGGCTGTAGATTGTCCACTCTCGTGGTTTTTGTTCTATTGTGTGACACTGCCACCGTTTATTTGCCATTTTACTCTTGACAGCATTTAGGTTGTTGTTCAGCCTTGATTATGAGGACAAATGGTGCTGTGAGCATTCCACTCTTCTATACTTTGGCATTTCTCTTGGGACTAAGAAAGAATAGAATTGTTAGGTATATGCAAGAATAGAATTGTTAGGTCTCGGGGTTTGGATTTTTTAGCCTTGGAATATGCAACCAAACCGTTTTCCAATGCTTGTATCTAACCTGTTGCTTTTGAAAGTGAAGAAGAAGGAAACTGAACTCACCTTCTGATGTTGGCAGTGGAACTGCACAGTACAAGTATGTCAGGTCCCTCGGAGGCACCTGCTTGAGAAGTATAGAGTCACCTTGCACCCTGCCTCCCACAGCCCTGCCCAGTGTGTGAAGTCTGAACTCATAGAGCTAACTTTGAATACATCCCCTGAAGACCAAAAGTGTACAAGCAATTAATGTTTAAACACCTCTGCATTTCCACCTGCCCTGCTCAAAAGAATCAGATTGGTCAAAAGAGGACCATAAACTTTCTTTCTTTCTTTCTTTCTTTCTTTCTTTCTTTCTTTCTTTCTTTCTTTTATTGAATCACCGTAAGATACAGTTAGAAAGCTTTCACGTTTGAGTTTCAGTCATACAGTGATCAATACCCATCCCTCCTCCACCAGATTTTCCACCACCAATGTTCCCAGTCTCCCCCCAGCCCCGCCTTCTCCCCCCCCACCCCCCCACCCCCCGCCAATCCCTCCATTCCCCCCTGCCTCTATGGCAGACAGTTTCCCTCTTTCTCTCTACTTTTGGGCATCATGGTTTGCAATACAGATGACTTGATCACTTGAGCATAGCTGGGTATGACCCAAAAAAATAAAGCAAAAAAAAAAAAAAAAGAAAGAAAGAAATTTCACCTCAAAGACAGCCTGGTGCTGCCATGGGTAGTATTTGGTTGTGTTCTCTGCATAGCACCCATGAAACTTTGTCGCTGACTCACATTCTGAAGTGGGAAGTTCTTCACTTGCCTTATTGATATTTGTGCTGTGATCTATGTGCTATTGACCCATCGTGCTATGAGCCACATGTACAAAGGGCACGAACATGGAGCATTGGTGGATGAAAGGGGGTGATTTTTGGAGAGTTGGGGCGGAAGTAGGACTGTGGAAGTCCTTGATTATTTTTTTGCCTGTCTACTTTTGGAGAAGCCCTTAGGACCATCTTTATTCTCACTTGTGTCTCGGTCTTTTCATCACTTGATCACTTGATATCCCGTTACTCATCGATCTGCTCAAGCGGGCGCCAGTAACATCTCCATTCATTCCTGTCGCATGCTAGTGTAGCCCAATGGCATCTGCTCGTTCTAGAAACACGAGGAGCCTCAAACCGATAGTTCAGGGTCTTGACGAAGAAGTCTGACCATCTCATAGGTGGGTGGCCACGCCATCTTTTGACATCCTGTGGAATCCAGTCGGGATCATCAGTATCATTGAAATTTGATTATAGTGTATCAATGTGCATGCCATATATTGCTTAAAATTATGAAAGGTGTGTAGAAAAAAGTGTATATGGTTTATTAGGTTGTTTGGGATGAGGTGTTTTGTTACTTCGTAAATGGCATATTGTACAGTAAAGGCTGTATAATAGCTTTGTATAGTGTCACTCAGTATTAATACAATTTCATGGAATTACTTATCCAGCATATTTGAAAGGAGTAGGTGGGGTTCCTCATCACTTTCATTTGTCTTAAGAATTATGTGAGATTTTTTTACATTAGGTTTATTAAACTCATTCATGTATATTCAATGAGTGTAGACCAATAGCTAGAAGAAACTGGATGCCTTAAAAACATATGAAATCTGCCTTCAGGTATCAGATAGTACCATTAACGTTTGATTATTTTTGTTTGTTTAGAAAGTTTTGGGTGGCTGGGGACATAGCACGTGCAAGCCCCGAGTTCAGCCCTCAGCACCACAAGGCATAAAAGCACCGCCAAAGAGTGTCCGCACCACAGAGGGTTGGGTCGGCCCGGCAAATGAATCCAGAAGATCCATAGCATATTCTTTGTTTGCTTTATTTTTAGGAAATGACGATACCGTGGTGCTTAAGGCGAGCCGAGCTTGTGTTTAAGTGTGTCAAAGGTGAGTCCAACTTGATATTTCTCAGCCACGGCCTGTGCCCTCCTCCCGGATACTGCAAGAGGATCATCCGGGGAGGGAACTTGGGACAGTCACCCTCAGTGGCTGCCTCCACTGAGTGGCCTGACAAGCTCGGAGTTGAAAAGCTTTTCGATTGGTCTTTTCCCGACCATAAAAATGACCCCTTCCCTGCTGCCCTACCAAGGTGTTTGGATGCTCTGATTGTGTTTGTTGTGTCCATTTATTTATTTATTTATTTTGCTTTTTGGATCACACGGAGCCGATGCAGGGGGTTACTCCTGGCTCATGCACTGAAGAATTGCTCCTGACGGTACTCAGTGGACCATATGGGATGCTGGGAATCAAACCCGGGTCAGCCACATGCAAGGCAAATGCCCTACCCACAGTGCTATCGTTCCAGCCCCTGTTGTGGCCTTTTATTTTCTGAAAAGGCAAAACAGAGAAAAAAAAAACCAGAGCTACAGATTTCATTCACCTTTACGGGATGGGTGTCGGGACACTATCAGATTGAAACCCAATCGAGAACGACTTTGTAACTGTGTGTCTCATGGTGATTAAAAAAATAGGTAGACATTTTTTTAAAAAAATTAATTCATCTTCAATTTGCCGTTTGTGCTTCCTTGTGTGGAGACTGCCGCCACAGGGAGCGAGGAACCCCGGGTCAGCATGTCTTGTCGGACTGGAGAAGGAAGGGTGGCAGAAGTCATTCCACCACCCGGGCTTTCCCTTTCCCACAGACAAGCGGCTCCCAAAATAAAATAAAATAAAATAAAATAAAATAAAAAATTTTGGGCTGGAGGGATAGCACAGCGGTAGGGCGTTTGCCTTGCACGCAGCCAACATGGCCGGCCCGAGTTCGATTCCTCCGCCCCTCTCGGAGAGCCCGGCAAGCTACCGAGAGGATCTCGCCCGCACGGCAGAGCCTGGCAAGCTCCCCGTGACGTATTCGATATGCCAAACACAGTAACAACAAAGTCTCCAATGGAGACGTTACTGGGCCCGCTCGAGCAAAAATTTTAAAAAATAAGAAGAAAAGTCAGTGTTTGAAGCCCCACGGTAAAAATTCCTGTCATTCAGTTAGACACTCACTGGCAGGTGTGGAGAGCAGATCCTGGATTGAGAGAAGTCTTTTGTTCTTGGTTTTAGGTTTCATGATGGAGATGGCTTCCTGGGACGGAGGGGTTTCCAGGACAGTGCAGTTTCTGGTCCCACAGGTATGTTATCTGAACAGATGTCCCCCACCTCAATTTGTTTGTTAGCATAGGCCTCCAAGGATAGAGCTAGGCACTCTGCCCTAAATGCAGTATAGCTTAGCAAATTACTCACAAATCACAACAAATCACAAATCACCCTGTTAATCGTCGATTGCCTCAAGCAGGCCCCAGTAACGTCTCCTTCATCCTAGCCCTGAGATTATATTCAAGGCTCTTTAGGAGAATGAGACCCATCATCGTTACTGATATTTGGCATATTGGGTACGCCACGGGGAGTTTGCCAGACTCTGCCGTGTGGGCAGGCTACATTCGGTAGCCTGCCAGTTTGTCCAAAGTAGGAATGAGATAATAAGATCTTATAATAGGTTCCGGGAGCTGGTTTTTATAGTCTCTGAGTCTTGGCCGTTGATGGGATTACACGGCACCAGGGGGCCAGTTGGTGGGTGTGACCCCCGCCTACTGGAATTTGGAGGATCTGGGTGGAGGATGCTCGGCCCAAATCTGAGTAGGCTTGGAGATCTCGGCCCCGGAACCCACATGACTTTGTCCCTCTGCCAGTACCTTCATGTGTGCGGAGAGTGGTCTCAGCATGGTGGTGGCTTGTCCTGGAGGTCTTTGGCTGCCAGAGCCCTGGTCGGGGCAGGGAGGAAAGTTCAACCCACTCCCCTCCAAGGGGCCCTGGCGGCGAGGACAGTCAGGTGCGGGGGCAGGAGCAAATTACTCACTCCTTCTGATTTATGTATGTGGAAGTTGGGTTTTTTTTGGGGGGGGAGGGGGTGATGGTGCGGGGGAAAGGCACAGAAGACACCCCTGAGTGTGCTCAGGGCTTACTCCTGACTCTGCACGCAGGATTCATTCCTTGCGGGGCTCAGGAGACCAGGAGGGGTGCTGGGGATCAAGCCTGGGTCAGCCACGTGTGCAGCAAACACCTTTCCTGTTGTACCACCTCTTCAGCCCTTCCCCCCCCACCCCCGCTTGCTTTTTATTAGTTTGGGGGTGGGCTCAGGGGACCATGTGGGATGCCAGGGATTGAACCCAGGTCAGCCATGTGCAAAGCAAGCGTCCTACCTGCTGTACTATCATTGTAGCCCCTTGCTTGTTATTTTTAAAGCGAAAAAGTGTTTTAGTGCTGTAGAGGCAGGCAACTTAATGTCAAAGGTGTGAGCATCTTTGACTCAAGCCATCTTTTGCTGACCCCCTCCCCCCCCCCCCAACAAACTTGATTCTTCATTCCTTTTTATTTTCCCCTATACTTGCTATATAGACTTTGGGGGCATGGCTGCAGTGCAGGGATGGAACCCAGGCCCTAGGGTTATAGACTCTGAGACAGACATTTATTTATTTATTTTTTATTTATTTATTTTTGCTTTTGGGGTCACACCTGGCATTGCACAGGGGTTACTCCTGGCTCGTGCACTCAGTAAGTACTCCGGGCAGTGCTCAGGGGGACCCTCTGGGATGCTGGGAATCGGACCTGGGTCAGCCACATGCAAGGCAAATGCCCTCCCTGCTGTGATATTGCTCCAGCCTCAGTGAGACATTCATAAAGAAGGGCACTAGCAGCAAACAGTTCTATACAGCACTTAGCAAAAAGTAGTGATATTTTTGTTGCTGAGTATTTTAATGTCATCAGGCTTTCCCCCCCCCCCCCCCCCTGGCAATCAGACTTCTTAGACAGAAATAATGAGGTTCTCAGAGGATGGAGAAACAGCCACTGCCCATAGTCAGAAAAGATTGTTCTCACTTTCTGCACTTTACTTTTTTTCAATCCTTTTAACAGTCAGAAAGTTCGGTGGGGATTTGACAAGTGGTACAAACTGGTTGGACCTTGTTTTCTTCACCCCATACAGAGTATTTCAGAAGAAATGTTTTACCAGCTCAGCAACATGCTCCCCCAGATCTTCCGGGTCTCCTCGACCCTCACCCTGACTTCCAAGCACTGAACCTTCTCAGAAGGTCACTCGACGCTCCAGGAACGGGACCTATGCCAGGATTCTGTCGGGCAGGAGATGCCCAGGAAGAGAACTCGCAACCCAAGTCACAAATCAAACCAGGACGCGTGTTGGTGAATTGGTGAAACGGTCCACAAATCCCCGTGCTGCGCAGCCCAGGGATGAAGTCCCAGTCATGCATCTTTTTTCTAAAGTTTCTACACAAAAAGTTTCTCTCTTTTCCACTACTGCCACGCGTTTTCCATGAATATGAATGAAGACATCTTCTGGATCATACATGCACATGGTATACATAGGTGATTACCCACTAATATTTTCATGGAGATATTTGCCCTTTCCAGAACATTCGCGTCATACCAGGTGCAGGGCTTCATTAAGGACATTAGTAAAATCCATCTGTTTCTCAAGTGAATTTCACTTTTGGCTTTTTTGCAGGGGGGGTTATTTTGTTTTGCTTTGTTTTGTGGTTTTTGTTTGGGGACCACACCTGACAATGCTCAGGGTTTACTCCTGGCTTTGCACTTAGGAATTACTCCTGGCGGTCTCGGGGGACCATATGGGATGGCAGGGATCGAACCTGGGTTGGCCGTGTGCAAGGCAGACACTCTCCTCACTGTACTGTCAGAAGGTTTAAAAAGCACCCAGATATACTCAAGTATGGATTCCTTAAGAGAATTTTTTTTTTTTGCTTTTTGGGTCACACCCAGCAATGCACAGGGGTTACTCCTGGCTCATACACTCAGGAATTACCCCTGGAAGTGCCTGGGGAACCATATGGGATGCTGGGAATCAATCCCGGGTCGGCCACGTGCAAGGCAAACGCCCTACCTGCTGTGCTGTCACTCTGTCTGTCTGTCTGTCTGTCCTCTTGTTCATCGATTTGCTCGAGCGGGCCCAGTAATGTCTCCATCGGAGACTTTGTTGTTACTGTGTTTGGCATATCAAATACATCACAGGTAGCTTGCCAGGCTCTGCCGTGGTGCTATCATTCCAGCCCCTGAAAATCTTTTTTATGGAAATACAAACATATGATACCGAGCATACTTATTCGTTCAAATTCTCTTGTTGCACAAACTTGTTTTGGATGTGCCCTTCCTCCTGCTCTAAGAGTTAGAATCAGAAAAAGACTGAGTTACGGACATCTATCTCATCTTCCCTACCCGAACTTGTACTTGCCCAGTAATAGTATTCGTGACCTAGAGAAGTTGTAAGTTGTGTACCACCTGCAGCCAGATGAAAGATATAAGCCATCCCTGGCAGTGTTATTGTGTTCATCAGTGTTGAGAAAAATCAGAGAATGGGGATCAATTTCATTTGTCCATCTTGCTTCCTACATTCTTAGCTTTCCTTTACTTTTTTTTTGGGGGGGTTACTCAGAGCTAACTTCCAGCCTTGTGTTCAGGGATCACTCTTGGGGGTGCTGGGAATCTAACTGAAGTCAGTTGCATGTAAGGCAAGTTGCCTTAACCTCTGGACTATCTCTCTGATCTCTGTACTTTCTGAATCTTCTCTTCTACTTCACTTTTTTAACTTATAACTTCTGTTTCTGCCGTTTCCCTCCAGAATTCCATTCTTAGATCTGCGTATCCATAACACCCCCACATAACTCACTTGCTATGAACAGTTACTACATTTTAAAAATCCACTTACCAAAGCAGTATTTTTTTAATTAAATCAGAGTTTATGTCCAACATAAGGAAAGGTGGGACCTCATACATCATAGTAAGATGCTGTTAAAACCCTATTAACATTCCTATGTGGAATAATCCAGAAACTTTGAGCACATCAAATGCTTTCCCATAAGATAAAAGATGTTGATTTTTCACTCAGAGGAACAGTTGTCTAGGAAATAACTCGGAGGAGAGCCTTCTGCTCCAGACTGCCCACCACACACTAAATGCTTTACAAATCCTTTGCTAGGGAGAGGGTCTCCCTAGGGTGGAAGGTCCTATGCCCCTAGAGTAAAAAATACCCTCCAGCACCACTGTGATCCTTGAGAGCCATCCACAGGGGGTAGACAGCGAAGTGGACAAGAACAGGCAGCATTAGAAATTTTTTTTCTTTTTTTTTTTGGGGGGGGGCGTCACACTCGGCAATGCACAGGGGTTACTCCTGGTTCATGTACTCAGGTATTACTCCTGGTGGTGCTCGGGGGGCCATAGGGGATGCTGGGAATCGACCCCAGGTTGGCCATATGCAAGGCAAATACCCTACCCGCTGTGCTATCACTCCAGCCCCTAGAAATTATTTTACTTGATGATTGGACAGTGAGTTGGAGCTGATGTGGTCAAAAACCATTTAAAAAAAAAAAAAAAGCAAACCTCCACATAAGGAATTGGGCATCAAGAGATTCCTGTAAACCTGGGTTTCCACCTAAGCATTTGAGTACATGTCCAGGTACCAGAGTCACGGCTCCTTCCTGGGCAACTGGGGACCACCGTTGCTACCCAGTCCTTACTTCATCCTTACCAGGCTATCTTATTACATTACTTAAGTCACTTTCACCTTCTAAAGTGATTTTATTTATTTATTTATTTATTTTTGCTTTTTTGGGGTCACACCCAACAATACTCAGGGGTTCCTCCTGGAACTGCACTCAGAAATCACTCCTGGCAATACTGGGGGGACCATATGGGATGCTGGGAATCGAACCCGGGTTGGCTGCGTGCAAGGCAAATGCCCTACCCGCTGAGCTATCTCTCCAGCCCCTTAAAGTGATTTTAAAGACATCATTCAGCCTACGAAATCAAGATCTGTGATGCACCCATTTTTCACATGGTACAGTACTAGGAGACCAACCAAAGCCAGAAGATGAGGAAATGAGGTTGTTCTTGTTTCTAACGTTACATCCCCATCAGAGGAGATGCACCCAAAACAAAGAGACGGTCTAAAGTACCAAGCGCACACCTTCGGTGGGGATGTCAGTGAAATGGCAGAGAAGGGTGTCTGCAGTTTCATACTTGGTCTGGGAAGAGAGGGATTATGACCCTCCTCTGAGTGGTCCAGAGGGGTTCTCGGCAGGGACAAGTGGCAAGGTGAAGAAGGATCTCGCTCAGGCGGATGAGTGTGGAGGGGACATCAAATACAGATGGGAGTCGGGACAAATGGAGAGAAGCCACCCCCAGGTGTTGGCAGGGAGTTGGGGGTGGAGGACCCCGGACCTCAGCGTGAACGACAATGAGGAATGTTCCTGCAGTTTTCTGACCATATTTCTAAGACAGATGACAGTAGATATAGACCCCAGGACCTTTGAATCTGCTTCGGAAATCAAGCAGGGCCTTGCACCCAGGGTCTCTCTTTTGTACTGCTCTCTCCTCCCCAGCCCCCCGTTTCTACTCTCAGTATAGGACCAAGTAAGGCCACACACGGGGATGGCCCAGCTGTCTCCCAGCATGACGTCGGGATCCATATGGAAGAAAGGCACGGAAAGAATCTCCACAAAAATGCATCTGTGCTTCCCCGGGAGTGGATGGGTCTCAACGGCACAGGATACCCCATCACCTGTGTCCCTTCCCTTGGATTCTGACTAATTCTCACAAGTAGGAAATAATATTCCACCAAGGAAGAGGAATGTGGTGACACGTTCCTGTTATTCGAGCCCCAGGGAGAGTTCTCAGAGGGGTGCAAGACAGACGGGAAACTTGTGGCTGTCTTTCAACTTCTAGGTGGAAAATCGTTGCTTTTTTGGTGATTTTATTTGTTTCGTTTAGATGAGTCGCAAGTGTTGTGCTCCAAAGAAGTTTCAGTGACAGCATGATCCTAAGTATGAAAGCATTTAAATTAGGACACAAGGACCATGCCATCAGAGGGATTTAGATGAATTCTTTCCTATCCTTTTGTCTTCCAAGAACCTTTCCAAATGACTTCCCCATATTTCCCTGAAATATTTGAAAGCGTTTGCACAGCTGAACTGTTGAAATCATTTGAGCAGTTCTGAATGGAATCAGACATGTCCAGGGGACTGAGCAATCCACACTAGTAGCCAGAAAGGTTTCCTTCAATCACCTAGTTTACACGGAATGATCATTTCTATCAATCTGGGCCAATCTGCAAGAGCAAAACCGAACTTTGCCATTCTGTTTGCCCCACGGGGTCTCATTGCCGTGAAATGTGTTCTGGGAAAGACGTTTAACATTGCTGGATGACGTCTTTCAGCTAAACGCAAGCTGAAACCCCCAACTTGAGTGTTACGTAGAGAGCATTTCCAAGAGAGCCAAGTTCACGAGCGTCTTATGAACATGAAATGCACAGCACTGAACAAGAGCCACTCTCTGTAAGGCCACAGGACTCACGGCTGAGGCATGAGGACAAGAGAAGCTTGTGTGTGTAAGTCCAACCCCCTCTAGGGACCACCACTAACTCCCAGCCCTCCAGAGTAGGGGACTCATAGCCTCCTGGACTTCCCTGTCGCCGGGGTTCCTCTGCTCGCATGGCACACAATGCCCACTGCTCTGTTCTCACAATCTCTTGTGCTGTTCTTGACCTGGTCTCCATGGGTACCCCCAGTTCCTAGAATACCCTAATATACAATTCATGGGGCTTCTCATTTATTTGGTGGGTGGGTGGAGGACGGTTTGAGAGCCACACCTGGCTGTGCTCAGGGATGACTCCTGGCTCTGTTCTCAGGGCTGACTCCTGGATCTGTGCTCAGGGCTCACTCCCGGCTGTGCTCAGGGCTGACTCCTGGCTCCGTGCTCAGAGCTGACTCCTGGCTCCATGCTCAGAGCTAACTCTGGATCTGTGCTCGGGGCTGACTCCTGGCTCTGTGCCCGGGGCTAACTCCTGGATCTGTGCTCGGGGCTGACTCCTGGCTCTGTGCTCAGGGCTGACTCCTAGCTCTGTGCTCAGAGCTGACTCCTGACTCTGTGCTCAGGGGCCCCTCTGGCAGGCCAGGGATCAAAAGCAAGTTGGTTCCATGCCAGGCAAGTGCCAACTCCCTGTACTTTCTGACTCAGGTGATTTCACATGATTCCCAAATTTAAGATGGATCTTCTAGACTGAAGCCCCATTCATTGTGGACAACACTTACAGAGCCACTGACCTCTTCAGATGTCCTTGTCACTCCAGAATCCACTCACAGAGGCCCCGACAAAATCGCTACCTCTTAGGAGAAAAATCTTCCATCTGACCTCAACGGCACGGGCTTTGGGACTAGCCACAGTGTGAGGTGGGGGAGTGCCAGCCGCCCTGGCCACACCATTTGTGGTCATGCATCGAGGAGTGGAAAAGTTGACTCAGCCGGCTCCTGTGTTCCCGGCTGGGAGACGCTGGGAACACCCTCTCGCTGTTTCCGCTCTTACTCAGCATGTGTACCTCCTGCACGGGCCTTCGACAGCTGCCTTTTCTCATTGT